GTGTTCAGTTGACAAAGCTGGAGGGACATAATACAAGCGGTTAACAGTGATAACATCAGCTGCCAGCTGGGGATCCATCCATGCCTGCTGTTTTAGATAATTGGACCAGGCACATTTTGTTTTTATATAATCACAATAAAACTATTCGCCATCAGGTCTGGTATATGAAAATCATTGTTCGCAGGCTCAAAGATTTGGTTTCTTGAGTAGTCTTTCCATTTTAATAAAGTTAGAGATTTGTAGGGGCTGGTTTAAATCGGCTTATTCAGTCTAAATGAGAGGTAGTTGAAAGGCTCAGAAACTCTATATGTCCTAACAAATTGCTTCTCTGGGTCGCCTGCTGCAGTCTTAATGGTAAAGTGATTGCCTTGATCTCCACTGAGAACTTTAAGAGGCTAATGGCGATATTGATCCTCTTCCCCCCCACCCCTTCAGTCTTCATCCCTTACACACTCACACACTCACACACACACACACACACACACACACACACACACACACACACACACACACACACACACACACACACACACACACACACACACACACACACACACAAACACACACACATATACAAGCCTCTCATTTGATCTACATCTCTTGACCTATAATCATTAACTTACACAGATTAACAGACTAAAAATTTCCCTCGCTGTCTCCATTTTGCTAAAGCTTGCCACTGTGAGTTGTGGACTTCAGTGCTTTCATTCATTATATGTGTCTGGGCCTTTTCACTGCACCACTGAGCATAAGGGCATACCAGACAGTTACTCATTAATATATTACAGCTCCAATATTCATTAACCTTGAACCTTGCACAGTCTGATAGAGGTTATAGATGGAGAAAGAATGAGTAGCTGTGGTGACACCTGCCTAATAATGCAGAATTGATACCCAAATGATTTTGGCAAATAATCACCCCTAAAGTGCAGCAATGCATCATCTGCTATTAGATTTCTTCAGGAGGGAGCAATTAACAAGAACATTAACAACACAGAGCTGTCTGTCCTCTAAACCCACTTTTACAGTGTATATTAATTGGACCATGTGCGCTTTTAAATTTTGCCTTGTAAAACAGCAGCTCAACTTTTTATATTGTCATCTCAAGAATGCCAGTAATTTCTAACTTTACACAGAAATCCACATTCTAGACATCCATTCAAAATATCTTTTCATAACCGACAGACCCCTCTAAAACATTAACATGTGATCCCACAGTAACAGTGATACCAGTTTTGAACCATGTGAAGTGCACGCAACAGATTGACTGGTACAACCTGTGTATTTTCTGTAAATACTGGTTTATAAAAGCAGGTTGCTACTCACCTGAGCTGGCGAAGACTCTGTATTACCTCTGCCCTGGGGTGTGTGTGTGTTTGTGTGTGTGCATGTGTGTGTGTGTCTGTGTCTGTGAGGCCCCGTCTGCATCAGGGGCAGGTGCAGACCAAACTCCCACCCCATGGATCCACCCTCAAACACACACACACATACACACACACACACACACACACACACACACACACACACACAAACCACCTCTCCACGCCCACAGCCATATTTCAGTCCTGCCGCTCAGTTACATATTTACTCATAAATTTCGTACTCTGATGCCAATAAAGAGCAGATCTGCCAACCTTTGGAATCACAGCAGAAAGAGCAGCATGCTTCTGGCTCTGCTGGTGAGGAACCCATTTCCTGATCTAGCTTCACAGCCCCAAGAGCAGCTTATAACCTTGATTGATATCGATAGGGCGTTACTGATTACAGACTGATTACAAGTGCTGTTGGAGGGCTGCTTGTGAAAACTGATTCTCTAGACTAAAATGTTCAAACATTAACACCCTGAGGAGAATTCTGACAAAACAAAAAAAAACTTAAGATCTACAATAAAACATTGTTTTCATTTAATGAACACAAGGAAACCCATAGTTTTAGGTTCAGACATACTTCTATTTATTTATGCCAAAAGCACAACAGTTTGCTACACAGCAAGGCCTCATGCGTTGAATGAACATAGCGTTTACTCATACAGCAGACGACCAACGAGTAGACTCAGAACTAAGATTGGTGAAAGCCTGACCTGACAGGAGATTCACACAAGGACTGTTCATTTTTTCTCTCATTATAATTTGGTTTACATTAGGCGACTGTTAATGTAGTCACATAAATAATATAAATTTTAAGTTTCCCTTCTCTCAGACTCAGCACCCAAACTGTTCTACACATATGATCATTCAAAGCATCATGACATTGTAGAGACTTGCAAAGCATTTTAATTTTAACCAACACAAAAAAAATCTAAAGAGACCAAGGCTTCACAGATTTGCGGTGCTAGTGAGTGTGTATGGGGAAAACTAATGATACTCTTCTGGAGACTAGTTAATCCTGGCGGAGCCGGTGACGGAACAGTGGAGTGGATGTGTGGAGAAGACGGCAGTGAGACAGCTGATGCAGGAGCTCCCTCAACTTTAGACAAGAAAACACTGCAGTGGAGGAGCTCGTGCAGATACCTGCAAACCATTCCTGTGCTCAGAGAGCTGTGGCAGGTGAGATTGTCTTATATAAGGCTCATCACATTTACATGTAGAGAAACACATGCACTCGTGATGTACACACAGTCATACATATGCAGGATATGCAAGCATGTATATCACATGTGCACGCAAACACATCCAGTCATTCAAACATAGACCTAAATGAACAATATTCAACTGTATATCTTATCCATAAATTATCTGTACTGATATATGTATATGTATATATATACTTAAATATGTATACTGTATATATGGATACATGTTATATTCCAAATGGGACAAACATTATCCAGGACAATTGACAAAAATGACAAAATGCCAATAAACAACAAATTGACAAATCCTAAAACCTAAAGGCAATAGAAGTACAAAACATAGAACAGCAGACCACACAACATTAAAAACTCTTCAAAGGCTTAAAAGACAATCATATGTCAAAGGTGCTACTGGCTAAGACAAAGAACTGGAGTGAGACTGTCACAGAAAGGTACAGGGACGGACAAGAGAACTGAGGGATAGGCACAGTCACAACAGAGCACGACAGGCTAAAGGTTTGTCTTTAGGGCACAAGATTTATGTACATATGATACCTCTAAACATATACCTCCCCTCTTACCCTGTCATATAACCAGTTATAATAACCATCAATTTCTTTTCGTTGTTATAGTGGCTTCATATCAAATAAAACTGATCATCGTTTCAGATGGCAGTCCGGTGCCATGGAGTTGCCTCAGTTCTCCGCTGGAGTCTCTTTGGCAGCCACCGCAGCTGAAAGAGGTCAAGGACGAGGGATTTAGTGCAAGACATTAAACCTGCTCACAGTCATTTCTTCCTAAATATTTGAATCCTTCTTTCTCTCCTTTACTCACTCATTCACTATTGTGCAAGTTTTAAGTTTGCACTGTTTAATGAATGGCTTTTTGCTTGTATTATTGACGTGTATATTTTGCTTCTTTCACTTTCACTCACTTTTAAAAAGACAAGACTTTTGCTTGTAGTACTTGTTTTTACAATGTGATTTTGCTGGTTTTACATAGATTATATAGCCATATGAAAATCATCCTGCAAAGACTTGAAGCTTGATAGAGTTTGGTAATACAACACCCAACACCCTACTGTCTTTATGTGAATGCAGTTGCAAGCAGTAGCTGTTTGAAAACTGTCTCTTTAGTGGTGCATTCAAGGATGTCAACGCATCCTTGAACTGATTTGAAAGCCCTGTATGAATGAGCACTGTTGCCAACTTCTGTGAATTCTGTGTTAGATTGAATGACTTTGCAAACCAATTAAAAAGTCTTTCATGAAATTTAGTGATGTTTTGATCAGACACTGGTTATATGGGATCCTTCAGACATCAGAAAATATGCAAAACCAGTGCGTGGCATTCTTTAGTGACGACTGGCGACTTGAACATGTTCAGTAACTTTGCAATTAAAACAGTTGGCACGGGCTACACAGGCAGAAAATCAAACAAACACCAGGCAAACATGGATGCTGTGAAATTTTCATTCTCAACTGTGAAATCTCAGATGTGGAGATGAGGAGAGATTGCAAAACAGTCAATGCGTGACACTACAGTTAATGCTATGATAACCTAATTTTGACAACAATGTAAAGGTGACAAAAAGTTTACAAAATAGATTGGTTGTTTTTTTTATACTGTTTTGAAAGTGAACTAAAACCTAAGACACCTTGTAAGGCATGAAATCAAACTTGTTATATGCCTTCTGAAAAAGGTTGGCAGTAATTTCAAGTATATACAATACATACAGTACAGCTCGACATGCACACAGAGTGGATCGCCCCTCCCTCCTCTGCTGTGCTACCGGCACTCCCAAAGGGAAACTCAATTATGGATGTATGTCAGGGGGTGAGCCAGATGTAAGAGACGGAGAGTTAAAATGTTCATCTTACCCTTGGAGACAATCAGGTTCTCCTCCTGTGCCTCCTCATCACCAGGGGCCCTGAAGAGAGGATCCACATGTTGTCATGGTAACCAAATCATGTAGTATGACAAAAAGGCCCTTACAAAACCAAGTATTTGTTTTTTGTTGTTTTGTTTTTTTAAATCAGAGAGGGACACCGACATACCTGGGTTTCTGGTTGATATTGCAGCGGCACCGCCGACCTGGAAACATAAGAAATCATTCACTGTGTTGACCAGAGCTTTAATCACATGTACTTTCTCTGTCATCACTGCTAAAAGTGGTTCAGTGAAACCTGATAATTAAATTATAATTAATAAAAAATAAAAGGAAACAAGATGGTGTAGGAACACAACAGTGTGGAAATGCAATAATGATTCATGACATTATTGTTAATTGTTCTTAATTTGATTGTAACACTTGATGACACTGAGGGCATGTACATAATAATATAATGACACACAAGCACACACACACACACACACAGAGGTTAACTTACTGAGGATGAGAAGAATGCCCAGTGCAAACAGCACCACGGCAAGTGTCAATCCCCCAATCCTGAGACTCTCATAGTCTACAGATGAAGTGCATACACAGGGGCAGGAGAAAGAAATTTAACCAAAATACCATTCAATGCAAAAATCCTAATGTAAAGAGGAAGTTGCCATGTCTTGACAATGGTGTGTGCAAGGAAACAACCACTTTTTCTAAACTTACCATAAACAAATGGGTCTTCAAGGTTCCCCTTTTCTGCAGTGAAATATAACAGCAACATTTAGAACCAAGGTGTTCACACTTTATCAGTGTTGTTCAAACATTATTAAAGCGTGGCTTAAAAATCCTGACAAAACCTGAGAAAATACTCAGTTCCATAACAATCTACGTCCTGTTACTGACTTGTAATTGACCTGTGTGCCTTTATTGACCATAACCATGATGTTTCTCGAAACTTAAATGTTTAATTGCCTAATCTTAACTTACTTACGTACTTTAACTGCAAGTTATTTGCCGTATTTCCATAATCTTAACAATATCATCATTTGAATGTTCAGATATTGCAGAATACATGAATTTTAAACTTAATCAAGGGTTCTGCGGAATTACGCAACATTGACATTCTTGTCTGACATTAGGGTTTGAAAAATTTGAGTATAGTTTATACTATGTGCATTAGAATTTCAAATATTTTGTTATGTATTCATACATACATACATTATCCTCTCTTTTATCAACCAAACAACCACTCTTATCTCTTTAGCATTCATTTCACTCTATAAATTTCTCTTCCTAATCACCCCACAGTTGGGTCTGGTAATTCTTGGACTTAATCCATACATCTGCCACTGTTCACTGCAGAGGGGCAATCCATAAGGGTCTGATCTGATCTGGAAACCAATAGACCCGTCTGTGCGGCTTCCATAGGACCGAGGTGTTAGAGATTACATCGAGGGTACTCACTCGGTGCACTGGGGTCTGCTTCAGCTGAGAGGTAGCCAGGAAGGAAGTGGTTTGAGTCGGAGGGTGAGGGGAGAAATACAGGAAATCAGCTTAGAAACCATGAGAGAAAAATATACAGAACACTCCCATCTGTCTGTCTCTTTGTGTATCAATCTATCTGTTTGTGTTTTACCTAACACAAGCTCCCAGCGTCATAAAAAGGCATTTGCAGCACAGCATCACATCATCTATTTGTAGTGTGTGACTGTGTGAGCATGTGTTTACGTGTCTTACATATAATCACACACCATAGACAGACCTCACACACGCACCTCACACACGCAGTCAGTGACACAGCCAGACTGTGAAACCCACACATAAAGTCCTAAAGTAATAATTGATGTTTTGCCCTCTAGCCCACAGCCAGAGAGTGCCTTTTCATGTAACATCACACTGCCTCCCTATGGACAATTTGCATGTGTGCGTATGCATGTGTGTGTGTGTGTGTGTGTGTGTGTGTGTGTGTGTGTGTGTGTGTGTGTGTGTGTGTGTGTGTTTGTGTTTGGTGAGTAGGGGGGCACTTACCAGCCATACACACCAGGAGTGAAGAGAGGAAGAGCAAAATAGTTTCCATGGCAACTGTTGACATAGAGTAATAAAGAGGAAGGGTGAGAGAGAATGAAAGAAATAGGGGGAAAAAAACAGTGAGAGTGTTTCAGTAAGCTGCACTACTTTATCACACATGCGACCCTACAATTTGGGACATAAACAATAACAATGAGCACACATATATGTATAGTTTGTGTACACAGCACACACCGAACCGACTTAGTAGACATACAGTAAGTGGTTTGTGAAAGAAGACTCACATCACACAGCTGCGGCTCTGTCCAAACCCCTGGAGTTTATGTAAAAGGCCCACGGATATAGTTTAACGATCTATGTTCAGAGACTGCATACATGTTTCTCTTTTCCTGGCAGAGATTACGCCTGCCTCCCTGCAGACATCACACAACCTTGGCCTATTTTTATGTAGGGTATTTAATGCACACACGGCAATTGTGTCTCCTACAAAATGTTTTCATATTCAGCTATTTTGTGTTGGCAAATGCATTTTGTAGGTACTGTAATGTTGTTCAGGTAAGATTTTTGCTGTGCTAGCTGCATGGCTCCAGGGATGTCAAATCTATGAGTCAGTGTACAGACATTCATGGTCCCCGCAAGATGACTCCTGATGACTTTATTGTTCCTCTGACATTCTGGTTGTAGTGACATGTCATGACCAGTACTGGATGAATTGCCATATAATGTGATGCAGTAATATTATGTCGCCCAGGAGATGCATCCTCAGGGCTTTGGTTATCCTTTGACTGTCCTTCATCAACAAGTACTTTGGTTTAGCTGGAAAACTAATGACACACAACATGGTGAACTAAGATGTTGGACAGATGTTAAAACTGTCATTGTGAACATGCAAGTATTCTGACATTAGCATTTCATTTAAAGCACCGCTGTGCCAAAGCACAGACTCACAGGTGAGAAAAAAAAAGTGTGACTAAAATGTTAAAGCTATGTTTTTGGATTTGATTACCGACATGCACTTTGTGCCAATGATGTCTGAATACGTTTTAAAGCCACTCTTCACTTGATTTAAACTTTGCAATTTCTTCCTTTACTTTTATTCAGTGACATCTGAACAGAAGAAACATAGTTTAGGTAGAATGAGAAAATGTCAAGGTCCTCACATTTATAAAACTCCCACAAAGACAGGTTTGAAAGGTCAGGTAATCTATTGCTTTCTCTGTCTGATATCTCGATAAAATAATGGTCAGAGCACTTACAATGCAGACCTGGTGGCAACAACAAGTCATAAATCAATATCTACAAGTGGTCTAATTCCCCATTAAATTCGAGTGTCTGGTAATGTGTTTCACATCAATCTTCAGGAACCATAAAAACAAACTGACAGGGTGTACTCAGAGTAATGGTTCAATACAGATGAATACAGGATTTGAAGCATGTCAAAGCTGCAAAGTGAAATAATAGAACATGACATGACAAGTCTGCAGAATAATATGTATGCTCTATACACAGATCATGGAAGCATCTGTCTCAAGTCTTCAAGAGTCCAGACGTTTTATATAACAGGCTTTAACTGTCTTGTTTCAGAGTGCCACATGTCTGCCTGCCTGCCTGTCTACATGCCTTTATTCATTTCCCTCCATCTAACTGACTGACTCTTTGACTGACTGACTCTATTTATGTCCATCTATCCATTCTGATGTCCATCTGTCTTCAGATGTATTACTGGTCCAGGATATAATGCACTTAAATGAACAGATTCCATTAGCATTCCTACCCAGCTGCTGTTTGTATGTTGGTGGTCCATGTATTTAATTTGTGAGTCCTCGTACGGATCTGAGCAACACATTCATAACTAAGACATGTCTAAAATAATGTGACACAAGATGTCAGCTGCAGAAAAGAAGGCCTATGGCATCCATTAGAGTAATGGCATCTACCTTTAAAGTGAAAAATTGACCCAGTTTAGGTTGGACAGGTGGGATAGGTGGGACATTTTTTGTTTTCCAAGATGAAGCGCAGCCAGGGGGACCTGATAGCCGAATGGTTAGGGCACTTACCACATGGGCTCATATGCCCTTGGCAGCAAGTCCCTGATTCGACTCCTTGCCAGCCAGACCATTTGCTACATGTTATTCCCTTACTCTCTCCCTGAATTTCCATTTCTATCTCAACTGACACTATCTAAATAAGGCATATAATGGCCAAAGGGAAAAAAAACAAAAAACTTTACAATGTAGCAGTCATTGAGGAGTTAGAGCCTTCTACCATTGATAAACAAATTAATAAGAAGCTCTCTTGTTTCTAAGTTTGCAGTACTCTTCTCCATATGTGTACATATCAAAATATTACAGTATTTTAACATTTCTAAATACTAGAAAGAAGAGGAGAATTTCTTCACCCAGTGGGGAGTTTCATTTCAGCTACACAGCTGAAATAGAAATCTTGGAATCACGTCAACCAAGTTTCATGAAAAATCTGGTGCATTCAGGGTGGCACTTTCACATTCTGGTTAAAACTAAACCCAGATATGAATGATGAGACACGACAATATAGTCTTCGGAGGCATATCTGTCACATCTGGCCATCTTGAAAGAGACATCTTTATTTCCACATCAGAGGTGATGATTGATGGCTGTCCCCAAACTGTACATTCAGTTCACACAAATTAATGAACACTGATCTGGCTCAAGTGCAGCGAGCAGGGAAATGATTCACGCTAAGGCAGGTTTTCCCCCTTCAAAATCGAAATTTTCAGCACTAAATAGTTTCTCTTCACCACTTGATATCACCTGATTATCCAAACACAGTCTACAATTTGTCTTTGACAGAGATTTTAGCACAGTTAGAGCAAACAGTCAATAAGTAGGTAATCTCTGTTCAGTCAATAAAACTGTGTGCTCAACTGAATAAACATATATGACTTGTTTTTGCTCACAATTCACAATAATTTGTACTTGATTTTAGAGTTTGACTGATTCCCTGCCATTGCAACTTTGAACCTTAAATATACATATTGTGATTTACATAACTATTCTCTAATCTCTGCGTATTAATGCTCATCCGTGTCTGACACCTTGCCTCACACAGTTTCCTTTGACCTTTTTCTTTCCCCTCTTCACACTCCTTCATGTCTTTCAATCATAACATGCTGCCCAACTGGTGTGAAAACCTCTATATATCTGAGAGGATGTTGGCTGAATAGAGAAAGGTGGCTGGAGAGCTGAAAAGCTGATCTAACTCAACATAACTAGACAGCTCGTACACCTATCTATCACTGTTTTCAATGAGAAACAAGCGAAAATAAAAAGCTTTATACCAATAATAGAAAACCTGAATTGAAAATGTAATTGTGCATTAGGCAGCTACTTAGACACATCATTTGATCCCTCGGGCACTATATTTAGCGAGAGCAGTATGGAATAATGTGTGTTCATCCGGATGGTCAGTGTAAAGATAGGTCCATCAGTATGACTAATGGAAGGGCCGAATGTTGTAGGGAAAGATGAAACTGCTGGTGGCTGGTGGACGAAGCTGGTGTGTCTCCTCTCACTAAGAGACTTGATAATAGCATAGATATGACAGTAAGTGTTGAGGGTTAAATGGTCCGTTGGACAACCTCCACTGATTCTGGGGACATCAAAGACAGTCTGGGGTTAGAGGCCAGGCAATTAGTCAGACTCAAAATCCTAAACGACCATTCACACCACCGCACCTGGCTGGACCTATTTCTAAGGGCAAGGGAAGCAGACTTTTACGCAATACAAATCGAATCTTGAAAGAATTTCTGTATTCATCATTGCAGCTTTCATTTAAGACGGTGTCACAGTGGTGTCTCCACGGTCTGGTTACTGGTCCAAAGGGAGGATGAACAGCAGAATATGACTGATTTCAGATTGACATGTACTGGTTTGGGAGCAGCACTGCACTGCCTCCAACCTCAAGGCCCCGTGGCACATAGTGAATGCGGCTGGGAAGAACACCGCTGCCTCACCTCCCCTCCCTCCTGAACATCTACTCCACCCACCTAGTCCACAAAACAAGCCAGAAAGGCGATTGACCCCACCCATCCCTCAGACAGCCTCTTCAGTCTCCTGCCGCCTGGGAGAAGACACAGGAGCCTCCGAGCTTTATCCATCAGACTGTCATGATGCTGAACCCTCTCCCTCCTGCCCCCATGAGGTCTGGACTGTAACTCACACATTACGCCCATGACATGTCCAACAGCACCAGCCATAAGAACATTTCATACACACATATACACACACGTCCACACTCAACACACTGACACTACTTTAACTCATCCTGTGGATGATATATTACTTGCACATCTTTTCACCACTTTTTGCATTATACTTATTATCAGTACAGTTTTATTGTTGATCTGTGCATGTCTATCACTACTTGTATATGCTTACATCGGGGTCTACAAGAAATAGTATTTCAATCCTCTATATGTCTTGTACTTTGACTGTGTGTAACAACAGTCATTTCATAAACCAGCACTGTAAGACTGAGAATGATCTTATGCCATCCTTTTTTGTGTGTTTATTTGTTGTGCTGTTTCTTTTTTAAGAACTCTAACCAGATTTCTTCCAGCACACCAGTAGCAGTAAACCAGGGCTCAGTCTTTGAACCAATATTTTCACCCCTCTCATAAATAAAGGAAACGATGAGAACACAATAAAGAATATCACTTTTGTTTTGGTTGCAATATGAATCTCTTTTAAAGGGGAGTGTTTCTAACCATTAGTGGGTCAATGTCACACGCTCGCCCCGTGAGAACCCTTTAGGGTGTTTGGCAGCATGGCACTGCCAAGTCTAATGTATCAAGCCTTTCTCTCACCAGGTATGACACATGGCAGTGTCATCTCCATCTTTCCTCAGCCTACCATATCTGCTCTATTGTTTAGCAATATCAAGTTCCAGCGCCAGGCTCCTATTTGTCTTTGAGGAGAGAACAGAAAAAGGGCAGGCAGGGTGGCCGTATCTCTTTGAGGAGGACAAGGAAATATCAGGGAAGGAGGCTGTAATGTGGGGACAAGAAAAGGGCAGACAGGAAGACAGTGAGAATGGGGGATGAGTAGAGAGGGACAGAAATTGTCTGGCAGGGGTGTAGAGGCGAAGGGTACGCAGAGGAGACACTGTGTGATTGGAGAGGACAGAGGAAGGGCGGCCTGTTGTATGATTGTGGCATAAATGCACAATATATTAAAAAGAAAGGTCAGAAAATGTGGTGAGGCCAATGTGATGAGAGACACAAAGAAATGGGTAGGCAGTCAAAAAAAAGAGACAACAATGAGTCAAGGGCGATGGTAAAGTAGATAAGGACAGCAGAGTGCTCAACCCTCAGTGAGACATCAAAAAATAATCTAATCTTTGACATCTCAATATCTGGCAAATGTATGAGTCTCAGGAGATTGTGAGATTAGTGTGATACATGCAATCTTTTGTGGCAGAAACATCTAAAAATGAGTGAACTGATGAATTACACAGAAAGTGGGCAAGGTTATTAATGACAGACTACATCAAAAGACAGAGTATTCCCACAGGAGTCCATTATATATGTGTTTGTACATGAGACCACACCCACCAACCCTTCTAATTGGGTCCTTAGTGTGTTTCAGGATCCTATGCTGTGCACAGTGACACAGGGATTAAGTGGTATTTGGAATTATATGGTGTGACAGATGTCACTCTCCCTGGCTTCTTGTGCATGTTTTATTGTCTGATTGCTGTGGAGGTGCAACTTCTCATGAAATACGGCTACACCTGCCTGTGTCTCTGAGAGAATGTGTAACTGTCTGGTTGGATATTTGTGTTAATTTATATGTGTGTACCTCTAGGTTTTAAATGTAAGGTGGATTGGCATTATTGTGCTAATTCTCTCAATTTCGCTCTACCCTTTTGTGCAGGTTTCTGGAAAGACCTTGAGGGTTCTATATAAGTATTTAAAGAAATTAAATACTCAAGTCTCAGTGTCAATTTAATTTCCTATTTTTCAACATCAAGAAAAAATGTAGGGCAGATAAATAGGTCACGCCACAGGTCTCTATAACCTTTGAGTGGAAAAAACACTCAGCCCCCCTATATCTGCCATCATAATGATGTTACATCACCATGACAACAGCGTGCGTCGTTCCATAGTGTCCAGTTATCTCTATGGCAACTGTCTCCAGCTGAAAATTGTGGCGCCGAACGAGAAATGGGTTAAGATGACGGGCTCACGTGAAAACACAAGGACAACCAGAGTCTAAACATAAACAGGGAAACTGGGTGTGGCACGAAGCTTTAAAGTCGGTCTGAATTCAGTCCGTTTCTACGATGAATTGCCACACATCCATTTATAAATAAATGCGTCAGCTAAAGGTTGCAGTGGTGGTAAATTCATTAGCTTTTGTTTGTAAGTTTTCCACGCACAACAAACAAAGACCGACCTCAATAACTCACTAATAACCTCTCCGTTATGGTGTCAACGCACAGCTTTCACGGCACGGCACGGCACGGCACGGACAGGTATCACTGACAGACTCAGAATATAGGCTACATATATTCCAACATGCGATGGGTGAACGTCTGGCGCATTCATCCACTTTTGCGCCCCTCAACCTGTGGATCATCTGATGGAGCTGAGGAGAGAGCCAGCACCCGCCTTGTGATTTTCCGTCTCTGTGAAAGCAACTAACCGTTTACAATAAAAGCAGTGACATCATACATGACATCTGATTATTTTTTATTTTCAATTTACAAAGCAAAACAGTTGCGTCAGAGAAAGTGAATCCGTCTCGCTCGTTTTAAAGCTTTGATCCATATTTGCATTTTTTTTTTTCTTTTACCGCGCAGTCAGTGAAGGTGACAGTGATCAGCGCCAGAGTAGACACACCCTCATGTTATATTAGAACCAGTGATAAATGACAAGCAGCCCAGTGCTGCACACGGCATCTCTGCAAGTTAACGAAACCATATCCAGCAGTGTGTAAATATTGCGAACACCACACAAGTAGGCGTTGAATGATTTCACTCAGAAGCGTGATTCCGTGAGAATCCCTAATTGCACGATTTATTTAAATTAGACTGTGTTCTCCAAACAACCTGCTGAGAAAAAATTTGCCTTCCATTCCAATCAATATGTCTTGGCTTTTTACGACCCCTCCCTTTTATCATTTTTCGAAGAAAACAAAAGAAAACAATAACACCATCTGACACATCATATGTGCGCGCTTTGTCAACTTACCTCTTGTTTCTCCAGCGGACCCGTTGGCCACCAAACTGATAATCCACCCGCGAAAATCAATCAGCTTCTCTCACAAGGCTTTCGTTCTAAATATTCTCATCTGTCAATATGGGCACACACTTCTCACATCTACTTGTCCTGCGAAAATAGAAGTGATGGGTAACAGTTCGACTCCTGGAGTGACTGTTTATTTAGTGCGTTGAACCCTTTCTCTCTTTCTCTCCCTGTCTCTCTCTCTCTCTCTCTCTCTCTCTTACACACACAAACACACACCCATCATAGACCCCACCCCCCCCGCAGCATTATGCCAGCCTCATGTGTGACTGACAGCATGTGAGGGTCAGGTTTTATTCTATGATTAATCAACGCCATAATAATAAGGATTTCTTCCTTCATCTTTATTTCTTCTGTGTGCTCAGCGATCCCACACACAAGCCGCATAAATATGACACAGATGACGCACACCTTCACATACAACGTAAGAATAACAATTTTTGAAAAAAAAAAAATTCACAGTGTGAGTATAAGAGGAGTTTTAGGGTGCACAGACAGAGTGCCAGCTCAATAAGGGGGTCAAAGGTCACACTGCTTCCTTCATAAAGTGAATACATAAAGTGTCTTTTTTATGTTGATATGGTAAAAAAAAAAAAACAGTTAACATTAGAAAAGCCTGAGATGTGTCCCTGAGGAAAAAAAACACACCTCTACAATCATAAATCATCTGTTAAAGAGTATCACACTCAAATATAAAGGTGACAGGGCCAGCCATCTTTAAAGTTTGCTTAACATGTGCTGTAGGTAAACATAAGTATACTGCTCAACTGAGACAGAGGAAGAGACAGAGGAAAGAAAATTAAGAATGCAAGACTGAAGTCATTGCATCAATTAGTGTGTATTAATACACAACACATACGTGTGACAGAGGATGAGTATACTGTAGATGATGCAGGACACCAAGACAGAGGTCCTGTGTTTAAACCTGTGCATTTTGTCATGCTGCCACTCCCCCGACCTTTCATCTGTCTGTCTTTCCGTCCACATTTTCTCCTCATCAATTCCTTCATCTGTTTGTAAGTCCGTCTATCTACTCAAGACAACTTCATAGTGCAGGGGGGGGGGGGCGGAGCACCCGCAGGACACAAAGGGACATCACTTCACTTCCTGTATGGGGGCACAGGAAGAGTTTAAGATGGTGACAGCCTGTGACCTACAGTGAGTCTAAATGCATCCTAATCATTTGGATGTCAAATATGCCCTCCTATAGTGTTTATCCACTCCATCCATTCTTACCTGCATTTTTCTGTAGATCCAGGGCAGAACACTACTGACTTTGGTATAGACGCCAGGCTTGTTTCTTTCACCACAGCCAGCTCCCCAGCTCGTGATCCCCACCAGGTACCAACGGCTGTCTCCCTGACATACCAGAGGTCCCCCACTGTCCCCCTAAAAAAAATACAGTTCATACTTAGTTAACATAAGTTTCCCTCTGAAGTTTGCTGAGTGTTACGAGCACAACGCGTATCCATAAACCTGTGCCCTGACATTGACTGCTCACCTGACATGAGTCTTTGCCTCCTTCCAGGTTCCCAGCACAGATCATGTTCCTGGTCACAGCGCCTCCATACACCCGGGGGCTGTTGCACACTCGTGTATCAATGATGTCCACAGACACCTCCATCAGATCCTTGGAGACAGTGCCTGTATTGGAGAAAACAGTGTGCTCATATGTTTTTCTAACAAGACTCTGAAATATGTCTAAATAGTGGTTGCACACGTGAAATCTTACATAGACCTTAAAAATAGGATTAGCTGAGTGTTCTGCCATGGCAACTGCTACTCCACTGTCATGTCTTCCCTCTATTGTCACCAGATTTTAATTCTACAGCTTCCCATCAGCCATTACTTTTGTTTTAGGTCCATCTTTCTCATTTGCCATCAGCCTCGGTTTATAGAGGACAGACATTAGTCATGCATCCCTTAGGTGGTCAGACTTTATTGTGTTGTGTTGTGTTCTGCCTGTCTGTCTGTACTTCTTCTGATGACTATCTGTCTGAATGTTGTACAGCTCCCTGAATTAGCTCTGTTTTCTTGTCTGACTACATTCTTGTTGTCAACTGTAATCCTGCCTTTTGACCTAAATTTGGGTACCAGATCCAGTGTTACAGCTGATACAATTTATTGCCCCAGGGGTGTTTAAAACATAGTTTCCTTATCCACACAGAGACAGTTTTTAAAAGAACTGAAAAACTGAAATGCATGTGCGCACTGATCTGATCTAATTTTGACTTGCACCTTATTATATCCATCTGTCTTTCTGCTCCAGTAGAAGCTAATGGGTATCCAATAAAATAAAGAAGCTTGGTGGCTCCATGTTCTATCATACCTGATCCTGCCTCAGTGGTGCCAAAGCCTGAGGTCCAGCATTTCTGTCCTGGGGGAATTTGCTGGCCAGAAGTTGGCAGACAAACTGGCTGAACTTTATCTGGATAACAAAAAAAAACAAAAACAAAAACAAGTATTTAACTTTTTTAAAAACACACCGGTAAACTTGTATTTTTAAAATGATAGTACTTAAGACAAAAGCACACAAAGAAAGCAAAAGAAATTCCTGGAGGTTGGAGAAATTTGGTGACTTGTTCATAGATGTTTCAGCTGCACGGTGAACGTTAATTGACACAGACTGTCGAACCAAGATCAGCCAGCAGAAGACAAGTCTTTCAAGCCATTTAGTCACACACCTGGCCACACTACATACTGCTTATGAACACATACTCCCTCATCATACAAGGCTCTCTAACCCTGTATATTTTCAAGGGGGAAACCCTTTCCTGATTCAGATTTCCACCATGACGGCTACAGTAATAGGTGTTGTTTTGAGGGGGACATTCTGACTGCAGCCTCAGGTATGAAAATAGAATGAAAGTATATTAGTAAAGTATTTTTAATCAAGTGAAGATGTGACTGACCATTGAAAACAACTGGAGATGTAAATTTGAGCAGAGCGACGTCTTGGTCATTAGTCCTGCTGTTGTAATTCTCGTTGAGCAGGATCTTTTCAACCAGGTAAGGCTGAGGTAGATTGTCCTGGGACACCACTCCAGCATACACTTTCCACTGTGTTAAGGCAGCCAAAGCTTTTCTTTGGCAACAAAAAAAAAAAAGACTGATCAGCGGAAAGCCATGGATTCAAACTGATTTGGCATTGGTGCTTACATTTTCAGCGTAGAAGAAGACTTAACATTGAAATGTATCAGTTCAGCACTGTGGACTGCAGCTGAACGAAAAAAAAAATTCTACTCCTACAATGTATGAAAACTGTTGCAAGAATAAACAAGACTGTTCCAGTAGAGAAAAAATAATAATAATAAAAACAAGAACCCCAAAAAATGTGGAAAAGATTGCTAGAAACACATTTTCTGTCAGTCACCTTGGGAAGCAGTGGGCAGCAGTCACCGCAAAAACAGGAGAGATGAGAACTGCACCGCAGATATGGGATCCTCTGAAGTGGAGCGACAACTGCCAAGGCCACTGACCTGTCTTAGCTATGCTACCCCCAATGATCCGGGATGTAGACTGCTGCTGACCGCAGTCTGGGAAAGAGAGACAATGTGTGATCGTGTTACTATTGTTTAATGAGTTACAGTGACACGGTGGCGATAGAATGATCATACTGTGTTATTGATTTGTAGAATTCTGCTTCTGCTTTCCAAATCAATGATTCTAAGCAATTTTGAATTTGAAACTCACAAATTAGTTAATTCTTTGTTTACACATGTGAGGAATTGTGAATGTAGATGTGACGTGTTGATGTTTGCCATCCAGGTTCTGACCTCATCACTCCCCACAAAGAAACACTGAGCTCAACAGAGCATCATGTGGGGAGTGATGATAATAACCCCCCTTTTAGGGAAAGATAGATTGTAGATCCTACAGGTGGATGCAACAGTGATCCAACAGTAGCAGCAGTAGTAGAAAGTACCAGTGTAGTCAAATTGTTGAAATTCAGTCTTATCACCCCAACTTTCATTTAATATGGTCTGTAGAAATGTGCACATCTAAGATTTAAAGCATGCTACAGTACCGTCAAGTGATATTGATCAAATACTCCCATGTTTGCTGTTGTTGGATGGATGCACAGTCACTGGGGCTGTGTGTGTGTGTGTGTGTGTGTGTGTGTGTGTGTGTGTGTGTGTGTGTGTGTGTGTGTGTGTGTGTTGTGTGTGTGAGAGAGAGAGAAAGAGAGAGAGACAGAGAAAGAGACATGTGTGTGACACATGACTGTAGGAACAGATGGAGGCTCCTTACCCACACACTGCAGGGAGACGGTTTCCTGGGATGGACAGGAAGAACTATGTAAAGCCACAATGAGAAAAGCATGTTAATTAACATGAATACATACAGTAAACCAATGTGCACCTTTGAAATTCTTTTACCAATATTGTACATTTGATTTCACACAATGAGATGGATTTCATCATAAACTGAGATTGGAAGGATCATAGATGAAGTCTGAGCTGTGTATGAAGCAGGGGAGAAAAAGGACTAGATTCTATACCTGACTTTTACCGCACCCTGGATAAGTGGCGACGATCTGCTGGTCAATGTTAAACCAATGGACTGGGTCTGGGATTTCACTGATGTGGTGACATAAGAACTGGAGATAGAGAGAAGAGCAGTTCAGAAAGCCGAAGAGATAAACTTGCACAAACAAAGACCATTTTGTTGAAACAATGCCTGATTGGGTCTGAAAACTCATTCTGGCTCTGTCACAGTCCAGAGAGACCTGTGGAGAATCAATTCAGCCCTTAACACAAAGCAGTAGCTGAGGAGAAATGAGATGAATCTCAGTGGGTAGATCACAGGTTGGAGATAGAAGCCCACATTGGAAAGTGGGTCTGGAAAAAATAACGAGCTAAATCACACCTTCATGAAGCCACAGCTAGCTCTGACTGATGATGGGGAATGGTGATAAATATTGTGATGATGGAGTGCAGATCTAAAATGGTTTTCAGCATTTAGTGCTCCTACTCTCAGACTTTTTAATGGATGTTGTTTAGCATGCTTTAGGTCAAGTTAGCTTAATTTCAAAGTGGTGATTCTGTACTTTCTGAACCCCAGGTGAGTGCAGGTCTGATCTGAATATCTCTCGTCCCAGCCTTCGTAGCACACTGGTAGGAAGCGGCCATCTTCAGACGTCCTGACCTGCAGACTGTTGCCCTCACCAAACCTCACTGGTGGAAGACAGGTAGATAGACAAACACAGAAGAACACTTAGATGACCTCTCTCCGGGGCCTAACACAATGTGATTGTTATGTGGAGTCTTTGGCCTGTGTGCTGCTGCAGTTGTTACTAGAAACATCTACAGTAAAAGTAAAAATCAAATGTGAAATAAATTAAAGCTTCATTTCGCAAAATAAATGCATGCATGCCACTGCGTGCAGGTTCTTTCTCGTTTCTTCATGTCACATTACATAATTCCTTGGTACTGAAGTCCAAGTTGAAGTATGCGGTCTAGTGGGATACACGTTCCACTTCTCGCTTAACAAGTACAACAAAAATATAATTACTGATAATGTCATTATTGTAGAGTTTCTGCTGTTGTTAATATTGACACTAAATACAAGTGCCTGCCATTTAGTATTATCCCCATTTCCAAATATATGTTTGAGAACTCAACACGAAGATCCTCCCACTTGTAATTTATTTTAGGGGTATCCTTTTGGATGTCAAGTGTCCACCTATCCTTCCCCACCATGTGTCCTCGTATTAGTCTGGTTCTGATTAGGTTCTATGTGTGCGGTTGCGTCTACTCACCACAATTATTTTCATCACTGCCCAGTTGGCAGTCTACTATCCCATCACACTGGACTGTATTGTTCGGGCAGGTGTCGAAAATTGGCAACGGATCTTCAATTCTGTCATCAGTGTTCTCATTGTAAATGGTCACTGTTGTTGGCAGCCTGGTGCCATAACGAACTGTTGTTGGGGCATAATGGGTAGTAATGAGTGTGGGTAACCAGATGTACAGAATGTATTTTTACTGTTATGGTTAACTAATACCAAATCTTGACATGACATAAGAACGGTAAAGTGCAAAATAAATGAATACATCAACTCTGCCTCTCTAGCTTTTAACTCATTCTTACATCAAATCTCAAGATAATCCAATTCACATATATTTTTGTTTGTTTTAACATTGAACATGTGTAAAGCCAAAACTAAAAAGAAAGAAGTAAAATTAAATATTCCCTGAAAAATGATATCAATACTAAGACAAACTATATTTAAATGTATATAGAGGACCTATATTTTTTTTAAAGTAAAGGACCCACATAGGCACAAGAACCATAGCCTATACTTTTCATGCAGTTACATAGTCTTGAATAAATTAGAGCAGCAAATGAATATAGTGTACAGTGATCTGTATGAATAAACGCAGAATACCTCCAAGCCAGATGGCCAGCGCCAGCAGAGCAAGCACCAGTAAGGCTCCCCCTGACCCTCCGTAACACTGGGAATTACTCTCACAGCATCTCCTCCTCTTATTACTGGGGGCTGGACACAGACATTACAAAAACTTATGTACACAAACACACATTGATAATCCTCATGCGACTCTGTCTCCATTTGTTTTGCTCATACACCTGCATCAGCTGTATTCTCATCAAAATAATGGATATCACTCAGATATACCTGGCTGTGCGACTTGGTGAACAACCACAGGTGGTGGATACTGGGGTATGTAATGTGGCTGGTTGGGGGGTGTCAGGCCTGGACCCACACCATACACCACCTCCTCGTAGGACTTGAGGGGGGGCTGGGTGTGCACGTCAATAGAGTAGTAAGGAGGAGGGGGGTCCTTCTGTGGGGGAAAAGACACAAAGGATGAAGGGGAAATAAATAACCAGCGAGGGGTCATCATATAGTTAAAATCATTTATTGTAATAGCACACAGTGTGGTGTGAAGTGTTTGTGTCATCTATTACCTTTGGAGGCAGAACAAGCTGCTATATCTAATAGGTATAACGATATCAGTGGACAGACAGACAATAGAAAGGGAGGCAAATAACTCTATACGTTTTTGGTTGCCAAGGCTGATCACGTAGCCCATTGTCTTTCATGTAGTCCTAACACAAGTCTATGTTTTAAGTCCACACCTGGGTAACAATCTCACACACAAAGACACAAGTGGTGTATCCTGGCAACAGAGTCTAAAAGATCAGGTTTTAACAGTTCATTTCCTCATTCTTTTCATGCTATCTCCTCTGCCCTTATTGATTCGCAGCTCCCAGTAGCCATATCAAGTATTTCAGACAAAGGATTTAATCAGTGTTTTTGGATTTTTTTTTGGGACAGGTAGGTTAACATCTGCTCACATATAGGAGGTAACATGGGAGAAGGAAAGCGACTAAATCTAAAGTTTTGATTGGAAGCAGTCTCAAAAGTGCTTTAACTCAATTGGTGAATGCTCTATCATGAAGTCACTGCAAATGACTCATGATAAACAGATGCATAGGTTAGCAGACTCTTCCTGGTTAAACAATAGCCCCTAATACCAATGATTCCTTGTGTTTCTGTCTTCTTGTCACAATGACTTGCAAAACTTGTCTTGGAAAGTTTTTTACACATTGTCCAAATCTTTTCTCTTCCTGCTTCCCCGAATATGAAGTTTAACTACTATAAACTGGGATGTTGTGACAAAAGATGCATTGATGGAAATGGTAGCTTCCGGTGTTTGCTTGGATAGTGATAATATAACAAATACTTTGAAGGAACAGACCTTTTATTTTTCTTTCTTGCTAAGAGTTGAATGGAAAGGTTGCTACCACTCTCATGTCTGTACAGTAAATAAAAGCCAAAGCAAACAGCTACAACTTAGCCCAAAAACTGGAAACACAGCAAACAGCAAGTCTGGCTTCATTCAAAGCCAGTTTAGGTGCTAAGTTAAGCTAAGCTAACAAGCTGCAGGCATTGACTTCGTGCTTGACGTACAGATGCAAGAGTGGTATTGTTTCTGAAAGTGTGGAATGTAATATGGGATTTGAATGTTCCCGAATGCAGAACATTATATCACTAATGTTGTTTACAACATTAAGTATTAGGCATTAGGCTATGTACAAGTTAATTATATCTCTTCTGTTACTCCAACAAATAAACAAATGTACACTTCCTTATGCACAGGGTCAGTTTGTGCCACTGTCTTTTCAGTACATTTAAATTAGTCTTAGAGCAGCAGAATGAAGCAGTAACCTCACCAAGTCAGCCTCAAGTGCAGGGAAAGCTAAGATTATAGTTCCCAACATCCAATGATCATGGCTTCTCCATGGCTGTTGGGACCTTTCTCCATTCATCATTATTGTCACACTTTCACAAACAGGGGGGGGGATCCTTTGTCCAAAAAAAAGATAATGGAAAGTAATTAATCTTGTCGAAGTGGGACTGAGAAGGCTGTGGGTGGACTCACTACAAAAGGTGTTTCATAAGAACATTTCTATACGATGCTGGTCAAGTTTCAAAATACACCTATGGGCAGCATACACCCAACTTAACTGAAGTAAAATGGCTGAGCTGAAATATGTGGAGGAGCAGGTCAATCATATTTCCCTCTAGAGTACACATGGATCATATTGCATGGTTTTCCATTATTGACCTATCATGTAATCAGCCATTATCATGGTAAAAATGCTGGAAAAAAAATTAAAAGATTAGGGGTTCACATGACATTTAAAAGCTATTGTTTGATTCAAACAATAGCTATGATAATATAAAGTTACAAAGCTAACCGACGTGAAATGGTAAACTTAAGTGTCCCTGCATTTTTAGTTGCCCGGCCTGTAGGGATGAAAAGAAATCAAGGCAGATACAAGTCAGGCCGCTGCATTTCATTAGAACATATAGTGATATGAGGCTGACCCCAACCAAAACAAAGCTGAAATATTTCTGTTTCAGTAAACAGAACCGGTCAATCCACTGAAAACTTGTGTGCTATTATGTGCTATTTGTATAACCCCAAATCTTTTGTCTCCAAGGGCTTTACAATCTGTACAACACACATCAACTGGCCTTAGACAAGCTTAATAAATTACTTTAAAAAATACATTGATCTGACAAACACAATGTCATAAAGCTAAAAACATTTTTTTATTAGCTCATGAAAAGTTGATGCGGTGGAGATACATGGTACGCTGCGACAAAACTGAACTGCAGTGTTAGGTAAATAAAAGTGTTACAACCTAAAGAGTTTCAAAGTGTGTAAAGTGTAGAAACTAAAGACAGCACAACACTTTAAACAACACTTTAACAGTTAATTCAGGGATCAATCAAATCAAACTCCCTTCTTACCTGCAGTCAGGCAGGGAAATTGAAACAAATAAAACCTCTAATGTTAGTCTGTAATCCCTGCAGGGAACAGCACTAGTACTCCTCACCCTTCACAAGACCACATAGGTTTACAGACAACACAATATACTGAGCAGACAGAGAAGCAGATAAACAGGAGTCTGAGAGACAGGTGAGTATTGATAAAGGAGGAAGCTTGACTATTGATTGAAGGAAGGTTAAAGAAACCAAGAGACACGCTGTAGCAAGAGGAAGGAGGGTTTTTCTTTTTTGTTATAAGAGAAAGAGAAAGACATAATAGGAACCTACCGGGTCATGCTTTGCCATCGGACTCAGGGCAGCAGAGACTGGAGGTAAAAGCAGGAGGGTTGATACTTTTTCACATCCAGGTGTCTAGTCAATCACAGAACAGTGGTCAGAGTACTGTGACGCTACATGTAACACCTCTTTTCTTCTCCTCTCCTTTCTTCTTGACTGTGTGTTTGTCACTGACTTTCATTCAAGGAGTAACAGGTAGGTCTGCCTTTCCCCCTCCCTTCCTAACACCTCCCATCATTACCTCAAGCCTTCATTCTTGACCTCACAGAGACGGGCGCGCCCAGTGCACCAAATTCTCAACTGCCAGACCAGTTTGGTGACAGCGAGAGACTGTCAGCACTTCTTTCACAGTATGAAGCTCCATTATGGCTCATATGACACCGGCTGAGCTGTCACAGGGACCTGAACCAAAATGGCCTCCTCTCGAAAGAGATTTTTATTTTAATGCTGAGACTGTATGGTTTTCACAAGCAATGAAAGTCTAAACTCTAAACTTTCCAACCTCAATGTGTTTGTTGGCAGTTTAAGGAAGTGCTGGGGAAAAAAAGAGCCTGGTACTTTTGAGTGTTTTCTTTAACCTCTGTCTGCTCCTTCAGTGGTGGCGTTACTGCGCAGATGTCGTTTCAGCAAACTTTCAGAGCTACCTTCATCTGATTTCTATCAAGATACCACATGCTGATGCTTTGTAATGCCTCCCTTTGTAAGCTTTCTACTGCTTACACTAGGTTTGCTTACCAGTGTTTGCTTTTTCTGCATCTTTAACCCTGTCACACAATGTAGGACATATCAGGAACAATTTAGTGTGCAGGTGCTGGTGGGCGTTGTGGTTTTCTGGTTGAAGACCTATTCCATATAACAGCACTGCGCCAGATTTGAATGTGACTGAAAATCTTTGTGACATATCGACCTCTCACTCTATCTCCCCATGTTTCGTCTTTGTCACAACTCTTTATTATTACATAAATAAAGGTAAAATGTCCCTAGAGTATATAACCTGGAATGTTAAGCACATAGAGTACATTAATACAATACAGGTCTATACTGCAAGATTTATAATGTCAGATTAACTCTGTAAGTCTTTGTGTGGCTAAATCTCGACTTTATCATTACTGAGGTACTGCATGATGAACTGAGTTTATGGTAAGTGTCACAAGACAATCAATGTGAAAATGTATGCACCTTAACACACCACTAGAGGGTGATATTACAACAAGTCTCAACCTACGTGCTTGTAGTCATACACCAAATGACTTGAGAGAAAATTCCCCTTCTGAACTAAAATTGCAGGTGATATTTGACATTTAAGCAAAACTCCCACAGTCCCACATTTAGGTAGCAGTTCTCTGTCCATCTGCTAGATAGAAACCAAAAGATCGTACTAAGAAAATGTGATTTCATTTACCAGGAACTAAAACTTGAACTTAAACATGTGAAAAAGAGGTGTGAAACAGAAAGGGGAACTAGGTTAGTTATCACTATTGGCTATAATTCAGTATAATATGCTTTCTCAGAATTGAAAGAATATTATTACATTGACAATAATTATCCAAAAAAAAACAAAAAAACAGGTTAAGTTAGGTTAGGTTAGCATGCAAACAGCAGCACTTCAACCTTTGAAGAGACAAATGACCTGTTAAGGATGTAAACATGGCATTTAGTTATTAAACAAGTTCATGGGGGAAAAAAACTAGGAAAAGGAGAACCATCCCTTTAGTTTCATGGCAACTGTGTTATAAATCCATCCTGTTACTGCACATCTATTACAGAGCAATATCCAGAAGATGCAAAAGGAAAGTCCAGATGTGTATTTAAATGTTTAGCTTATTGTAGCTTGTATAAAGCTTTGCACATTTTGTCTACACTATGTAATGGAAATACTGATAGTGAGTAAATTAAATTACATTTTTTTCGCGAATGGTGTCTTGAAAAATGATTATTAACTGGTAACTTGGTGACCAGTAGGATCCAATGTTTGAATAATTTCCCATCTACTTTTGGCAAATATGAAAAAACACACTCATATCTTCCATATCCACCCGCAATAACCTTTATATCATGAATTTCTTTTCAAATCTGCAGAAAAGTGATAAAGGTACATATGTAAGATGAGGTTTGGAGATAAGGGTCCACAGTCATTGTGGTTTCTTGAGACTACAGATAGAGTCAGATATTCCCTTCAGCAGATAGACTTTTGGAAAGGTCATGACCTTAATGACACTTTAGTTAATATGAGTTTATTACCCGGTGGAATTAAATGTCTATGATGCACATAAACTCATTAGTTTATGTGTATCAACATATCAAGTGATTTTTGCTTGTTAATACTGAAAAATAAACTTTGTATTTTTTGGTGGTCCTGTTCTTCTTACAGCCAATTCTACCACAACGCTTTGCAAAAACCACCTGTCATGCATGCCACCACAACTGACAGACACAGAGTCACAGGAAAAGATATAATACATGTACTGTGGTCAAAATTAAACAGAGGCAAACTAAGACTATAATGTGTCTGTATCTGGTTCAAACTGCATGTTTTTATTATGAAAATTAAGAAATTACAAATCCTTATTCTGTTTAAAAACACCTATCTTATCAAACTACTGCCTGCAAAAAAAAAAAGTGAAAGGGGAACTCCTGAATGCTTCCCTTTTCTTTTCTCTGAGATGTCAATGTACACAGAGTGTGGAAAGAGGAAAAAGGTCTGATGAGAGAGCTTAGAAAGAGAGGTGAAACTAGGAGCAACGTCACGACAGGAAATGCGTTATCTGAGAGGGAGGGGACTTGAGCTAGAGAAAACAGCATTCCGGGAGAACTATGCAAATAAAGTCGTTTGGGTAAAGCCAGCTGCCTCTTCTTATTTGTTCCCCTGATGAACAGACACCACAGTATCAGCAAGAGGACCGCTGCTTCCGCTCTGTCTAAATTTATCAATTTGAACCGTTACACAGAGTTGTGCAGAGGAGAAAAGATGTTTCTACTTTCTAATTTGCCTCAGTGATGACCGGCTTGAGAGATTTTATTGGTGACCGCAGTGTGGATCATTACTGAGTGATGATATTTCTCCAGATACCTGAAATGGATATGAGCAACAAGACACCAATTCTTCTCCTCCTAATTATCTGCTTAAACTCTGCATCAGGTAATTAACAACCTTTGTTATTCATTATTTCTTTTTCAAATACTTTGTATTTGAATTGATCTAATTTTGTGTTTAAATTAAGCAAATATATTTTGAATTTATCACTGTGGAATTGTTACAGTCATCAAATTATGTGAAAAAAAAAATACAAATACAGATATAGTTATAGTTATAGAAGGTTTCTTATTATGAAGGCGTCAGAGAGTTCCATTCTGATAAGTGATTCCCATAAGTTAGAGAGTGGAAATGGGTAAAACTTTTGTTCCCTTTACAAAACACCCACAGTGTCTTATGATCAGAGATCCCATACGATTGCAGTATCGCTGCGTCTTTTTCGTCAGCCAGACTTCCTTTACCCCTCCTGACCACACTCTTCACAAAGTTTTTCAACATTAGGTCAGCTTGTGTACACGACATGTAAATTATTTTGTAATACCAAAAGTGAATGAGTATCATGATTCTCCTATTATTTCTGTGGCAGGACAGGATGTCCGTCGGCCTGAAGACCTGGCGGTGAATGTTTCAGATGGTGATGTGATAGTACATTGGAAACACCCTGCGGGAGCCCCCTCAAACTCCAAGTACAATGTACAAATGGGAAAGTAAGTTTAATTTCAACATATTAGGAATAACAATTTTACATAAGAGTTACCATGTCCTGTTTGTCAACTTCCTAAATATCCCAGCAGTTTTTTCCTTCCTCTGACTGATATTTGTTTTCCTCTCAACTGTGATATTTTTGGACCACTTGAATCGAGTTTTTAAATGTTGATTCTGACTTTTATTATTTCACCTTCTGTTATCCATTGACTCCACTCTTTCCAGTTGGTGACTGATGTGCTCTCTGTCCTCAGGTACAATGGTGAGTGGGATAAGGTAAAAAGCTGCACTGGGATCACAAACCACTACTGTGACCTTAGCAGCTTTATACTTGACTATTACATTCACTACAAGGTCAGAGTCCAGCTGGTCACAGGACATTACAAGTCTGAATGGATAAGCAAGAGAATTCGCCCAAATGAAAGTAAGCATGGCTGTTACTTTGGTATGACATCAGTCAGTCAGACATCAGTCATTATAATGTCACACTATAGGGTTGTTTTCTTACCTGTCTCTGTTCCCACAGGTAAGTTGCAGCCTCCCTCGTTCAGTTTGTTGGCCACTTCCAGCACTCTATCTGTTTCTGTTCACAAGAAACCCATTCTGAGGAAGCTCTTTCCATTTGGGCTTACCTACACCATCTACCTGGAGGAGAGAGGGCAAGATAATAAGGTGGGCATCAGAATTATTGGTTTAAAGGCACAATATGTGAAATAATTTAAGACATCATTCACCCTTTCCACCAACACTGTCACTAAAATTCAAAACAGGGGATTGGGACTAATTATATCTATTGAATGTGCAAAATGTTTGTTAATGAATCAATGCTACTAAAATGTAGGTATATTTTCTATTATGATCAGTTGAGAAAACAGGCAAAATGCTTATTTTATTTTATAAGTCAAACTCTACAATTTTGTATCTGAATATTTCTATTTTCTATTTTTATTTTAAAAATCCTGATTGGGCCTTCATTAATTATTAATATCCTACAGTTTTACCATATTTCAACATTTAATGTCATGCTCTTCTTCCTGAATCAATACCTACATGACTATCATGGCCAGAGGAATTCATGATAAAGATATTATCGGAATATCTATAGACAATTTGAAAAGAAAAAGGAAAAGATGCTCAGTCAAATTAATCTTTAACTTTGTTTATTGTGTGTTGATGAATTACACTTAATGGATAGTGAAACAGCATCCAGATAAACTGATAAACAAAAGATTCACCTAGGCCTAATATCTGCCACTGCCATCTGCCAATATCACGATTATCATCAATACATTACTCCTCCGAGGCTATATTGCACAATGCCTTGACCTGCATGGCACTTTGATTTTTTTGCCCTACAGACTACTACAGCATACCTGACAGATGATGTGGGGTTGGATCAGACGACTAAGACTTTCAGTTCTCTCCACTGGGGGAGAGAGTACTGTGTCAGCATGGTGGTAGCGGGTAATGCAGCTCTCTCCATCAGTGCTCTGTCTCCTACACAGTGTCTGCAGCTACCGGAGCAAGGTAAGAAAAACATGATGATGATAGAACAATAGAACAATATCAACTAAAATTGTATTTTTTCAATGACAAATAATTCTATGTGCCAACAGTAAAAATAAACAGACGATAAGTAGATTGCTAGCCTTAATGAAACAGTATGACATTTTTGGGAAATACATGTATTCACTTTCTTCGATGAGAAGAGCAATACCGCTCTTGCATCACTCATGTGTCTGGCACAGTTCCCCAAATGTTGGGCTATTCCTTCAAGCCTAAATTTAAAGTATGATACAGATTCAAATCTATAAAACACCGTCACATCTGTTAAATTCTTTTGTGTTTTTGCTCCCTTCCAGAATGGTACATAATCGCCATATCGTCCTTATCTATTCTGGGTGTGCTGATGATCATTGCTATCAGTGCAGCCATCCTCCTGTGTTACCTGAAACGACCAGAGAAAATACCTGCTGTATTGGTAAGTGTATTAGATTACTGTAAACTGGGAAGAATCACACTCATGCAAACTTGTACTGTCAGCTATAAGAAAAGCAGAACCAAAAGTTATTACAGAAATGGAAAGAAAAAGGAGATCAAAAAATTTGTTGTAGATACCACCTTGCATCACATTCTTCATAGATCATAACTAATTTTTCTCCTGAAAGTGACAATAAAACAATGAATAATAGTGCAACCAACATCTTCTCTTGTCTCACTCCAGAAATCCCCTTCAAGCTACTGGCTTCCACTCAGTGTTGGAGAAGGAACTATTGAGGTTGTCACAGACAGAGGATGGTTCCTGTCCAGTTACAGAACAGAAATGAAAAACTGTGTCAAAGACCCTGTGACCCACGTGACAGTAATAGAAGACAATGAAGAGGAAGAGAGGAGGACAAGCATGGACAGTGGGGTCAGCATGGTGTCCAGCTCTGCTATAAAAAATGAAGGTAGTCCTGTAATGAAACAAGATGACAGTGGCTGTGGGAGCTTGGGAGGACCAGAGAGCTCCACCAGCAGTCAGACAGATTACCCCATGCCAGATGAGAGGACTGATACTGACACAGTAGGGAAAAGAAAGGATAGTGGTTTGGGGCTGGGCTGCCAGCTCCATTCTTCTTCCATGAATCTGGATGGACAGGACAACAGGCTTCTAAAGGAGACTGTTCTTGGGGGCAATTATCGCACCCAAAGCCCCTCTGCTGTGCAGATTCATGTCTGCAATGATGAGGAGGGGTTAAATCAGATACTTCCAGATACAGATTTGGCCGAAGTGGTCACAGGTTACAAGGCTGGAACTCAGTCATGTATCTGTTCAGGGGCAGGTCAGTGCACTTGGTGCCATAAACAAGGTCATTATGGATCTGAAGTTATCAAACAATATAGAGCTATGTGTATAGAAAATGGATCACTGAGCAGCAAATGTGATTTTGTGGACTCTTACAAAGCCAGTTATTCTAAAAAATCACAAATGAACTCTGTCATGATGGATGATTTTAAAAACACTTTTTCAAAACTAGGGGAGACTTTCCCTCTGCTAACAACTCTGGTGGAGGGAGAACATGACTTCAACATGAACAATGTGTCTCTCTCACTATGTGACGTACAGCTTACAAATGACTGACACACTATGCAGCGTAACAACGCTATTTATAAAATCAAGCTGACGTAACCTGTCTGAGCGGTGTGCTGAAAAGAATACACTTCCCTTTTTCCCTTTTTCCCACATGACACACTTTTTGAATGATGAAATAGAAGCATTAATTTGTATTTGGGGAGTATGTTGGTGTATTTTGGGGAAAAAGGGGAGAAGTGTAGGGAGGAAACAGAGCACTCAGCGCCTTGTTGCTGAACGTAGGAAGGAAAGAGAGGTTTAACCACACAGCTGAGGGCTGGTGGCTGTTGGTGTGTCTCAGGACTTCACACAGTTAGACATTTTAATGTCAAAAGCCTTATTCATTGCTGTCTCACTTGGTATATTAACAACCGACTAAAATGCAGTATGCAGGAAGTGAAACTTAGCATGGGAGTGATGCAGAGAAACCGTTCGACAGTTACATGGTTTTGGGCATTTTGCTATTACACCTCAGTCAACACTTGTTAAGTGCAAACATTTAACAACAACTATTAGTAAGGATGTTCTGTCACAGTCCGTTTTTAACATTCTCTGACTCAGAAAGTGACTCTCATATGTCTTATACTGTAGGTGTGTCTTTAAGCTACTTCTGTTTAAACTATTTATTAAATGTTATGAAAAAACATGTTTACTGCGTATTGCTGTGAATACATATTTTTCTGCTCTACTACATGTGAGTGAAAGAAAGTCTTCCCCTGGAAAAATAAAAAAAAAACCCCAATCAGTAAACATATGCCATATTTTAGAAACCATGACTCAACCAAACACAAGGAAAACCCTGAAACAACAAAATGATACCTACTGGAAAAGAAAAAAAAATTACATATTACTTCACTGTACTTGGGATCCCCATATGCAAATTCTGTACAGGAACCAGAGCAGTGGTTTTGTAGCTTCTAAACTAAGAAACAAAAACTTCCTCTCTCAGCCTTCCACTCGTTTAAAAAAAAGCCCCGCTCTAAATCTATAGCGAAGGCAGCCAATATTGGCAGGGAACTAAGTTTTCATAGATACTGAACATTAATCTCAGTGAAATAATGCCTTAACGTCAGTTGTTGGGTAAAGGGTACTCTTTATCTCTTTATGAAGCAGATCCCTGACAGTGGAAAGACAGTCATATGACTTACTTCTCCATGTGCAGCATAAAGTACAGGGGAAGTGAGACAATTTTTGGCTAATCCTATAAAAGTTGAGAAAAAAATCTTTTGAACTGAAAAGTATCACGTTACTGGTGTTGCAGTACACGTCCTACAGTCTTATATTTCATCTTCTATTCCTACCACTCCGTGTATGGCTGGATTTACCTGTTAGGAGGCCCTGGTGTAAAAATGAACTACTGATACTAATCATCTATCTGCTGCTCTATGTGCAATGTGCAGGATGCTCCCAAAATTAGATTTTGATGCAAGGTCCCTGATGAACCTTGCAAATTCTGTTGGTTCATTGGTTTTTGGAAAAACAAATTACCAAAACCATCTGACAACGGTGAGCCTGGTGGTTTTGGAGTCCTCAACCTTTTAATTTGCTGCAATCTAAACAAGTCTACCTTTGATCCCCAAAATAATATCATCACAAAGGAGGAAACGCAGATAAAGGTTTTTTAACATCACAGCTTCATAAGTGAATCATTTACTGTTTACACTGATCAGCCGCACACACCCACACACACACCCCTACACACACCCACACACACACACACACACACACACACACACACACCCCTTTCTTTTTTTGCCTTTTGTACATCTGACTTATGATTGTTTTTGACTAAGTACAAAAGTTGACCATGATTCACCTCACTGTAGGCAGTTCACATTAAAAAAACATCAGCTACAAAGAAACATGTTTTGGTTTCTTTAAAGGAAAAAGAATGAGACATTTAAGTTCTGGCAACGACTGAAAGTATCAAAAAGGTAGTAGATATGTGAACGTGAAAGGAAGTCACCCACAGCTTACAAGAAAACTGATCTGCCTAGGTGCTGTGGTGGAGTTGTTGATATTCTGCCTTCACCTCAAAAGTTTTTCTCGTGAGCGGCACCATGTATGCATTAGCTTCTCTCTGGTGTGTGTGTGTGTGTGTGTGTGTGTGTGTGTGTGTGTGTGTGGGTGTGTGTGCATTTGAAGCCACAACACGACATACTTGTCAGTTTCCCATGACAGATAGCAAAACTGACAAATTGAAATGCAAGAAAATATATATTCTATTTTATTTTTAATTCATTTTTTAAATTACATGACATGAACTAATAATACAATTTTGCATACACAATAGCACACACTGCCTCTCTTTCTGTTTCAAGATAAAGAAGCCATTTTTATTTTAAAGGCCTGACTGATAAGTTTGCCAAGAGGCAGTGACGCAGTTTGAATGTATTACATCACACAAAAAGTTAAAAGTCATTCAAAAAGAACATGATAAGTTACATCCTCGGGTTAAAATAAAACAACATAAAGAATAGCAGCAAAAGACAAACAGGAACAGATAACATGATACGTGCTCAAAACAAGATGTGTGGTGCACAGGAAAGTGACAGGCGAGGGGTGTGCCTTCCATTATGATTAAACTGCCACCACCTCATCCGCTATTTTACGATGCTGCTGATGGAAAAGGGAGAAGACTTCTTCAACCCGACTTTGCTGTAGGGAGAGATAAAACACACCAAGCTTAACCATATGAACATAAAGCAATTAATGTATATAGAAGGAAAGAAACGTCCACTTACGTGAGCACTTTGTCTTTCAGTGACGGCTCTAAAGAATAAGAGGAGACACATTGAACATGCATCACTATACAACAATTGCATGACAGATTCATCATATTGTAGTCTTAATGTTGGGTGATGTTGCACATCATCAACCATGTAAGCATATGCATCCAGGTTTCACGCCAGTATCTATCTCTGAGATTTGTGCTTCCTTCCCAATAAAAGAGAGGTGAAAAATTAAATGGCAGCAGCTCTGGATTCAGTGTCCTCGTTTCTCTGGATAACTCTAGAAGGCAGTTCTTACTACATGAGAAGTGTTCATAGAGGTCTTTTGATTATTATTAAAATAACCAAGTTGATGAAATGTTGCTATTGAACTTCTTAAATTGTACGTTTTAAATGCTGTGTGCACCACAAATTCCATTCACCTCCACTGTACTGGCGAGGCAGCAGATATGCATTATCTCAAAACCTTATTATCTGAACGGCAATACCACTACAACGGTAGATAGGCAGCATGTTTTTTGCAATGGCTCATTAAAGCTCAGCTCACCCTTTTTCTTGCAGCAGTTTTTGCATTTGTACTTGCAGCAGAATTGTACAATGGCTATGGTAAAGAGGATCGCCAGGATGCCAAAGCCCACAGCGACCCCGATTGCTGTTGAGTTTACCCTGCTTCCTGCATAATATAAAATACAGAGAGCAAATTAGATGATAGCTATAGATCAACACGTGTTCAAAGATCACCTTACAAGCATTCCCGAACAATAAACAAGCCAACTGAATGACAAATAGTTTCTTTTTTAATTTTACAGGGTATTGTATTCCTGATATAAATGACTACCAACTGAAATAGTCTGTCTAGCTGCTGGGGCCTAATTCGATCAATATGTATCTGTTCATTATGAATGAATATTCACTCTGATGAAATGAGATTGGAAAATCAATCTCTGGGAAAGATTCTGGCTCTGGTATCATTAGCAGTCTAGAGAGACACTGAAAGTGTGGAAGGAGTTAAAGAGACAAAAATACAGCTGATACATCATGTGACCAGCTAAGATTTTTATTACTATATATTGTATTTTTTCACCCAACTGCATAAGCTTAAGCACAACTACATTGAGAACTCATGCGATAATGGCAATAGTGACTAGAGCTAGTTTGTGTGTGAAATGTACAAAAGGCAACCCAAGAAAACATTAAAAATGCACTGAATCCAAAGAGGAAAAATTCATTCTGTTGGAATTCAGAAACGGCAATGTTGTAAAAGTAAAATACTTGAGTAGAAAAACAAATCTGAACCACAACCCAGAGCAATTGTTTTGGAGATTGTTTATGTGCGTCACAGTTCATGCAAACAGAACTGAAATTAAGCAACTCAGCTAAAAGACTCTTACCACTATTCCCCATAGCTGAGTAGCCAGGATGCCCAATGTTATCTCTTGTCTGTCTTCTCCTTTCCTCGCTGTCCGTTTGGAGTTGAGCTCTGTCACTCACTTACTGGACTTTACACTGATGTTTATTAAATCATTCCTCTTGACTGTGAAGAACAAAAACACAGAAGCCTTGTACTCTCTCTTCTTCCCTCTTTGCCTATGTCTGTCTGTCCATGTCCCCATACCAGTCATTCTTTTAAACCGGTCCATCTTCTTTCTTTATCCTACCCGTCTTCTACCCTCCCTTCATTAGCAAACGTTAAAACAGAGTGGACAGTCATGTGAAGCAGCCCTTGCTTTAAAATTCACTCTGGAGTACTGTGATACTGTGCAGTACAACAACTTTTCACAACACATCCACCTTTCTGCATGCCTGTCTCACTAAGATCTAACAGGAAACTCAAAAACAGAACCAGAAACTCCATTCTGGTCTTGCCTTTCCTCTGTAGAACTATCTTATCTACATAACAAAGTGCCTCTCACTAAGGACACGCCCTTCTTTTGTCCCCCCCGGTTTCCATCCCAGCTCCAATGGCAGCTTCTCTTTTTGTCTCCTCTCTTAAAAATCATTAATAGACTGCCAGGTAATAACACCTGAATCTGATGGTGCATGGGGACTCCTGCTGGGTGTCTGAGTTATTACACCTCTTCATTGTTGAAAATAATAGTGCAAACACTAAATGAAACCAGAGCTGACCTGGGCCAGAAAGAGTACCAAAACATCTGATTCACTCACTTCCCTGAAAATGTAATCTTTTGCTATAAGCTGATACTACTATATGTTGCTGTTGCATTTGTAGGGTAGCTGGACTTTCTTGAGTGTCTAACTCAAGAACCCACTAGCTCACTATATTTTATATTGCAGTAAAGTACTCCAGTCACTTACTAATTCCAGGACAGAATTAATTAAATATGAATCACAAGAGCATATAGAGAAGGTAGATTTCAAGATAGTGGAGGAATGATTAATAATCACTACAAAAATACCACAGTTTAAGATTCAAAAATGTTAAGTATCGTAATTAGTAGATCAGCTTAAAAGATGTACAAGTTTTAAAGATGGGTCACCATCCGTCCACAAGATGTTACCAGTTCCAAGTGGTAGAAAGTGTCCTGTCATTTAACATGATTGTGTGATTCACACACTAACAGAACCAGAGACCATGAGCCACAAATGTGTTCAAGGCAAAGCAGTGAGCTGGCTGCCATCGACATACTGTGCTAATATGTATCCCATGATCTAGATGATGAACAGCGTATCTTATACTAATAAGCATGACTAAGTTTTGGTTCTGTTAAAAACCGCAGTTAAAATTTCTTTGCACGCCCCCACATTCATCTGAAATTTAAGTTGAGGTCAAGTTCCCCCTTCCATTTGTCACATGCACATCACATGTCACAGGTCAGCATTTCTTTATTCCTTCCTTTAAATGATTATCTATACTATATATCTAACTTTTACTGTGACTTTTTTCCAGACTCAAGATATACTCTAGATGTGACCCTTATCCATTTTGCTGCATTTTGGTGTTGGTATGCACACACTGCAAAAACTCAAAATCTTACCAAGTATATTTTTCTAATTTCTAGTCAAAATATCTCATCACACTTAATATAAGACAAAATCACCAAAAGAGTAAGATTTAAGTGAGATAAAGGAGCTTGTTTTTAGACAGTGCATCTTGAATATCTTGTTAAGTGAAACAGTCTTGAAAACATCTTGTTTTGAGTCATATCTCAGATGAACCAAGCTTTTTTGACATGTCATAAGGTTTTTAAGCTGCTGTGTTATTTGTAAAAGATGAATCGTCTTGTTTCAAGAAATGTTTCTGTCTTACAAGAAGTAGTTAATGTCTTGAATCTAGTAGGTGAATGTCTTGAATCTAGAACAGTATTACTTTTGTAGAGTTTACAATAAGGTAAATGCACTTGAGATGACATTAGCTCAAAGCACTGATGTACAGCCTCACAGAGCTGCTACTATGGTTGTAGACACTTATTAAGAATACGCCAGTTGATGACATTCATAATGAGTGGTAAAAGTGAGGTTATAAACATATAAATTCATTCTTGACCCTTTGGAACAGAATATGTAATAAAATAATCTCAACTCAGTGGTCAACTTGCTAGTTTTTGGAGGAAGAATGAGGAGTCTTCATGGAGGTTGCAAATGGAAATCCATATTCTAAAGCCTTTCATCAAAACAGTATAATGTCAATACACACCATGTTAGGCATTGAGCCTTCCTTTGACATCCAATAGTAACATGATCAGATTGCAGTGGATTTTTTTGCAATGACAAGCACAAGTTAAGCTAGTTAGTTGTGATTTGCCTGCTGTGCATCTGTGTCCGTGTATTTATGACGTTCACCTGGGCAGTGCTAAGCAGAGAGAACAATTATTTGCAGGAGATCTTTTGGGTATTTCACAGCAATATGGCAGCAATTTTCCAGGAAAGAATTGCATTTCATCATCACATCACATTGACAGGTGACACTGATACTCCTGCACAGTGATCAAGGCTATAAAACTTAATTCTTCTGCAAAGCCCTCTATCCATAAAGATATCATCTATCACTATGATTCATAGATTGATGTGGATACACCAACCTGCTTGAGTTGCATAAAACGTGGTATATTTCACAATTCTCAGCAGATAGCTTCCTTATACTGTAAATCCATTCATTTAATTTCGGTCAGGTGCAGTGGGTGACAGCTAACACAATAAAGTGTTTTGTGTGTTCACAGTCATGTGATCCAAGACATCCAAGACCAAGGATCACATCACTGGGACCTGTGTTTATTGTTTCTAGATTATGCACACAAATATGACTGACAATTTGAACACCTTAGACAAAATATTTCAGAATTAAATATATAGTAAATGTAAGCAAGTAGTGAGTAAAATGTAATGTAATTTTGGATTATCATAGACTGCTTGAATATACATTTTGGAGCTTGAATATCCATTTTTTTAAAACGAATTTTAATCTTGTTTGTTTTCCCCTCCTTGTCTTTTGTCCTATATCCAGGAAATGTTCATTTATATTTTCCAAATTCAATTTATCACACAACTGAAATAACATTATCTTGAAAACATTTGCACTTTTTGGGACACTTGATTCCTCCCCAAGAAAAATCGGTTTGGATACAAAGAGGGACAGAGAGGGACAATACAGATTCTTTAGAGTCCAGGGAACATGAAATGTGAAGGTGTTAATAATTAACAAGCTGTTTTTCATGTCGCACTTCCCCTAACTTCTCTGAAGCTCCATATCAAGTTTCACAAAATGCTCACCTATATGTGGGGTGGTGGTTTAATGGCTTTGGTTGTAAATTGAGGTGGAGTGCAAGTGTTTGTGTGTGTCTGTGTGTTAGCGAGAGGGAGAGAGGGAGAGAGAGAGAGAGAGAGAGAGAGAGAGAGAGAGAGAGAGAGAGAGAGAGAGATGGACTGAAATAAGTTGTTTGCCATGAAAGTGGAGGGCAGAGGGTGGTCCCTGTTGAAACAATAAAAGTCTGCCGAGAAACTCCTCAGAGAGAGATGCTGAATTTCAGCGACTAGGAACACTGTTTGCCCTCCAGATGCTCCTCTGACAAGAAGTGACAGCCGCTTTAAAGGTGAGGGAGAGTACAGTGGTGTGAGGTATGATATTTGGGTGTCTGTAATTAGGATTTTGTTATAACCTCTGCTTTTTTCCCCAAATCCTTAATAACTAATGGGTTTGTGTTTGTGTCAAAATAACGAATGGCATGCTGTATGAGTAGTAGATTGATTTATACGAGTGGTCTTTTTATAAAACTCAGAAAAGAACTTTGATCCTTTTCTAATCAGGTTTCCTACTAAACTTTAGTAAACCATCCACGTAGGCATGTCTGATAAGGACTTAAAGGAAACTTCCACATTTTAAATCTGTGTGGTCCAGGATATTTTTTTAAAAGTTTGGTGGCAGTGGTTTTTTTGGTCCTCATTCGCTTTTAGAGGTTAAATTAAAATAAAGCTAGCTGTTGCCATATTCATTTTCACTTTGCTCAAAATTAGTCTTGTCATCAAATTATAAAGGAACACACAAATCACGCTGTACAGTCCCTGCTTAGGTTTCTCAGATTTGCACCAAATTTGAACCTGCTGACACACAGTTTGCCAGTCAGTGAGCAACAAATTAATGTTATCAACATTTTTATGTTATCAACAAGTTCTAAACACATTGAAAGAGAATAAGTAATATATATGTGTAAAAATACTTTTACATATCCATTGTGAATACAAATATTTTAGCAATAGCCTTGGAAGTATTCTGTTAATATGTAAACAATCTGGTCTATATTCCATTTAGGAAGTCGGGAGTGTATTTGGTTGTCCTTGAGCTTTACATGCACCCAATTTCAAACGAACACAGTGTTTTTAGCAGCAACCACTGTGTTCACTGACAAAGAAATGAAGAATAATGAATTTTATCCGCTTGATACGGACTGTGTGTTCAGCTGTCGTGCTGTGAGAGCTAATGGGATTATGAACAAAATCAACCAGTTTGACTGAGCAGAACAATAAAAGCCTGAAGTCAAGCAAGGGCGTACAAAAGATTTATTAGATCTCTGTATTGCTCTCATCTTGTCTTTTATAGTTTGTGCAAACATCTCGTCAACCATTGTTCAGCAATGTCAGGCTGTCAGACAGGATAAACCTTGTGATTCATGTGATTTACATAGTGGTAAATGTGAGGACTTAAAATGGGTGACTTACTGTACGTACAGTGCAGTGAATCACTTTGAAATACCGTTCATTTTAACTAAGTTCAGTCAGGCAAACACACAAAAGTAGGTCATGCACCATATTTCATACCTGGGTGGGGCCTCTAAATGTTTTGGCAACCTGAATATCTACAAGGTTATTGGAAGACTGACTTAGTGACCAGAGTGGTCATTGGGTGCATCATTAAAGGGTAACTTAATACTTCAGAAACATAGGACAGAAATCTGCTGCTGTATTGATATCTACTGATTTGAAACATTCGGGCATTTTGCACTTCTGGCCAAAAATCAAACAGTGATGTCAAAACATATCTATTTTTCTAAAACAGACAAGTTGACATTATTGACTTAGGTTTGCCTAAAACTGCAGCATTCTTTCACGTTTTACAGTAACTCATAGAAAGTAGGTTTAAGATGTGTAATTCCATTTTTAAATAACCATTATTGCAACTATTGATGGATTACCATGAAATTCTGTACTGACATTCATCGTTGGCATTTTTTCTGTGAAATGTCTCCACAGCTCTTGGATGAATTGCCATGAAATCTGATTCAGACATTCATGTCCTCTGACTTTCAATTTAGCACCATTATCAAGTCAAACTTTAATCAATCCAAAACTTTGGTTTATGACCAAATACCTGCAAAGGTAATGATATTCTCATCAACTTCAGCCATTCTTTGTGTTTAGTGCTAATTAGCAAATGTTAACATTCTAACATGGTACACTAATGTGGTGAACATGGTAAACATTGTTCTTGCTAATCATCAGCACATTAGCATTGTCATTTGGAGCACGTTAGCATGATGGCATTCAGCTTATAGTATTTAGCATAAAGTGCCACTGTAGCCCAGCAGCTGCTAGCATGGCTGTAGATTCTTGTGAGGCATGGAATGTATTTGTCACATTCCTCTTGTGTTAATTCTCTGAGACAAGAAATGGCATGAGTCACAATTTGAATGTCAGACAAGAACTCCTGACTGATACCAACCGACTTCTCATTACACTGTCAAAACAATACAGGTGAGAAATGACACACCTCAGCCTCCAGGCATAATACTGGACACATACACACCACTGTTAACTTCATGTTGTGTCTGAGCGCGTGTGAGTGTGTGTGTATGTGTGCATATATGGAGCACTCTGTTATGTCGAAGTTTTTGCATGTATTTGTATCTTAAGGGGGCAGAAAAGATGGTGTATGTTAAGAGGGTTTAAAAAGTTTGCAGTGGGAGGATATGTGGGAGGAAGGACAAAACTTGGGAAGACACATAGGAAGCGAGAGACAGAGAGAGAGCGAGAGAGAGAGAGAGAAAGAGAGAGAGAGAGAGAGAGAGAGAGGGAGCGCGGGATAGAGAGTGAGAAGGGGAGGAAGAGGAGGGTTCAGGTGTCAGGTTACCTGGAATACTTCAGTTTTGTTTTGTTTTGTCAGCAGGGCTTGGTCCTCCTAAAGCAGCTCTATCTGAACCTTGCGGAGCGTCAAAACAGCGCTACACACCAGCACTCTTTATTACAGCCTCTGGGTTTTAGAGGGGGGCAAGTCAGGCATCCTTCAAGCCGGATTCAGTTACACTGCTGTAGAAAGAGAAAGGGAAGAGAGAAAGAGAGAGAGATAGAGGCTGAATCAAACAAGGTTTTGTAGTAGAAGTAAGTGTAGCGGGCAGGTGAAAGGAAACGGACGAAGGACAGACACAGGACAGTGAGTTTCTGTCTGAGTCCCACCTCCAGGGAGGGAGGGCAGTGTTTACTCTGTGCTGCCCGTCAGATGAGGTGCATCTGGGCCTTACTGAGAAAGACAACTACATCATGTGGGTGAGTGCAACTGGAAGCAGAATCAACATATTCATCAGGAAGATGGCAATTCAGTTCACTGGTTTCCATGGGAGGGGTCATTTGAATCACATCATCGTTGTCAATTCTGGTAACAAATTTGTTATTTTACTATGGCACTGAGACATACTGTCATACAAAAGGTTCAACCAGTTTCTGCAGTGTACTGGCAGTGGCTATATTTTGCATATTGGAAATGCCATCTGCTGCTACATGGGAGCGCATGCTTGTGCTTTACATACAGTATCTGTTCTGTGTGATTACTGGCAGTTCAAAGGGCAGGTAGGAGCATTTTAGATTCAAAATGATCCGGCTCATATTCATATACATTCACATTCATACTTCATGATGCTGTTTTAACATTTGTTCAGTATGTATGTGTGCACCATCTACCTCATTATATAGGTGTGCAACTGTTTGTGAGTGCAGCCTACACTAACTAAAGCATGCACCATTGTGCATATAAATGCACATTAGCTTGTTTGTGCCTTTGAATATCTTAACGTGTGTGAACAGCACTGGTCTAGATCTCGGCCTTTGATTACAGGTCATCCTACATGTCACGGGTAGTTTTTTAAAAGCCCTTTTGTGTATGTTTCAGTTGAGAGGAACATAATCCAACAAAGCTGAAAACCAGCAAGGAGCACTGACACGTTTGAACAAAAGGTTTACCGTGTCACAGCTTTTATCTGTAAGGCTGACCCAGTTAGGCTTTTCTGCTGGTGCTGGAGCAGTTCCCAATACACATAGTCCACCTATGGGTCACTCTGATTCAAAAAGAACCAAAGTTAGGTTTGTGAGGTTAGCTGTTACAGCAGAAGTAAGATGTGAGATATGATCATGCTTGGCCACTGTTATCTGGCTTTTTGGAACATGGCTCTGGCTCATAAACTGGTTTAAATTAGTCATGATGGCAACAATGACATTGGTGTTTCCCAGAAGGCGTTATCATCATGTGTCATGATATAACAAAACAGATCCTGTATTTTCAGGGATGTGTTTGTCAAGTCATGCCAACAAGTCTTTCTTTAACCAACTTTCTGGTTTCCCAGGTGAGATGGACCTCCCCCTTTTTTGTGCTGTCACATTCATCTTGCTTATTCAACTTATACTTACATCAGGGGATGATGACCTAGTTTCTTGCACTTTTTTTTCTTCTGCCAGTTGGTATTGGGAATGAGTCTGTGTGATTATTTTGAGGGTGTGTATTAATCACCATCTTTTAAAAATCAAATTATTAATTTACATAGAGGGATCACTATTATGTTTATTATATTCATAGACTTACACAAGTGGAAAGGTTTAGGTCAGGTTGAGTCATCAGTCTTTTGGGGGAATTAAGACAAGGGATTATCAGAATCAACTTACATTCTATTACATAAAAGGGAGAGTATATGGCTATTAATTGATTATTTGAAACTCTACCATAAGTGACTACAAGTCTCATGTCACATACAAAAGTGCTGCAGGGCTTGATTCATACAGGTGAAACATTACTAGTTTCAATATAAAGAGAAATCTGAGAGTGATTGGACAACAACATGCAGAGTAAAGAACAAAATGTCTGGATCTCTGACACATACAGTCTTTTATGGTTCATGGTGACACAGCTGATTTATAGCAGGATAATGTAAGCTTCCTTCCAAAAAAAACCTGCCCAACAACATTCTTTGCCCGTCTCTGTTTTCCTTGCTTGTTCCTAGCATTTGACTGACAAGAGCCACCAACCATTATTTTCACAACTTTTGTGTCAAAGTTGATTTTGTGCACTTCCTTTGACAGAAGTTATAGCAAAATAATAAGCAGCAAAGCAATATGCAAATGAGGGAACTTACAAAATACTACTAAAGCAGAAGTGTAAATTTGAGAACAGTAGTCCGCTGTTTCCAGTTACTGTTTTGTGATGCTACGATTTCTGGCAATTCCTCATTTAGTCATAAAAGATTCTGCATTAGTTTTTTTGATCAAAAAAAGTATCAACTAAAATATATTCTGTTTGTTGTTCAAAAACTGAATGGCAAACTGTGAGGACAGGACAAAGGCAGAACAGCAGGCAGACGAAAGTGCTCTACAAACTGTCGGTAACTCTACACCATGGGCTGAAATCCTCCAAACAGGCCGGTTAGCAGTCATACTGATGTGATACTGAGCAGCTACAACACTACAGGATGAGTCATGTTCACCCTTGATGAATAAAAGCACACTGAGAGTAACATGAAAATAGTGAGTGTCACAACAAAGCTGACCCCTGTTTGTACACCAAGAAATGGGTTTTGATTGAATAACAGCACTATTACAAAATGTGGTGACATGAATCTATTGGTGAGATGCTAGTTATTCATAACTGGGAGCAAGCTGCTGAAAAAACATTGTAAAATGTGACCAAATTCAGCTCAGAAATGTGGCCAGTGTTGGGCCATATACTAATTACTCAATAGCAAAAGAAGTGAATTAACATTACATTACTTTAAAGCAGCTATCATTTTTTATAATGTATCAGATGGTATTGTGATAGTAGTCGCTCATAGTGGTGAACCTTTAGAGAATCGTCACTTTAACTGGCATGACCAATGCTTCTTTTTTGATCCACTTACTGTTGTGAAATGCTGCTAGATATTCAACTTAAAGCTGATCAAAAACTTCCTTCAGCTTTTTCACTTCAACTGCTTTCTCTCCATCCAGACAATAGACCAGGAAAACTTAAGAAAACTTGATTTTTAATTGTCAGACCTGAACCTGATTAACAGGTTCACTCAAATGTTTAAAAATAGTTTCCGATTTGTGAAACCTTTGTTCTGAAAATAAAACCCTTTACTGCTTTTTATCACAACCAGACCACATCAGACCAGGTCAGGTCTAGATCAAAAAACTAAAGCCTGTTTATAACACAGTTTCAGATTTGTGATCCCTGCAAATCAGAAGCTAACCTCAGCCATATCAATTCCCTTGGGAGTTGGCGGAGAGCAAAACAATGAGTGAATACCGGACTTAAATTCTACATGAAAATAAGCAGCTGTTTGCACCATATCAAGTTCACAACTTTCTACTCGCAGTAGCAACCGCTTAAATATGTACAGTGTATGGTAACATCCAAGCAACTCCGTCTCGGTCAGTTTATGGTGGTCACAACATTTGGTGCAACCCCGGCGAGACCTGCGACAAATGCTAAAAACGTAAAATATCAACACCACTGCCCCTAAGTGTCTAAAGAACAGTTATTGCAGGTTTAACGTAAATTACTCAGTCTAACTCTGTCAACGGTAACTTTTTACACCTCTACAGCCTCTATACTCACACGCCACATGTATTTAACACAAGTAGAAACTGAAAAGGTCACGCCCCATTGTTTTGGAGGTATTTAATTAGCGGTTTTAGCTAGCCCCGCTAACTGACCGCATGCAGTTTCCAACTCTGAACCAAGCTAGGTCTTCCCTGACATAAGCAAACCAGACAGATCCAGCAAAGAAGACAGAAAATACAAATGAGACAGTATTTGAGTTACCTTGGTACCAGGAGTCACGTCTCAATTTGTTCTTTTGGTGGATAGTAACGGCGTCCCCGCCACACTTCAGCCGCTGCGCCAAGCTGACATTTACGACGTGTCGCTCCACTGAAAAGACAGATACGGTAAGAGTGATTAAACCGACCCCACACTTTTCAAAGTGAAATTAGACCGAAATAAAAATGGGACTCCCTCCACAACACGTTAACGTTTCTAAAAGTAATCGGCCCATAGTTTGCTAGTTCAAATTTAAATGAACAAGATTACAAAACTGGGATTACAGATTCAAAGATTCTGTTTGAATTGATTTACCAGGTATTTGTGGTCAATCAGTGACTGGTAAAATTGGCTACATTACTTAGAAATAGAAAGCTTAATTGTTTGCTGCATGAAATATCACAAAAATAGTGACATTCCTTTGATATTTGACATCCTCAGATGTTTTGTTTTGTCTGATCAAAAATCAAAACCCCAAAGATTACTTTTCTGTGCTTCACTTTTCTGTTGAGCTCTGATTTACATATCCTTAACCTTGCTGCAGGTTACATACACTGCTGATAAACATGCAAATGTTTGAGTTAAATGAGAGTAGACGGACTAATCCAGGGTATAGGCACCCAGGCTTCAGGTCCACTATCAAGGGTTGAAATAATGTATATATAATTTGTATTAAAAAATATATTTATGCTACACAGAATACTATTTAGGTTTTTCCAATCTTTGGTTTTTCCTGTTAAATGTTGGATATCTTTACCCCTTCAGGCTTCATTTTCATTTTCCAAGTGAAAGGCATCAAGTAAGGGAAAACCACCCCGCAAATTACTCAGCAGGTCACAAAATGTATGTACTATATCAACACTTACTGGTTTGAAAGGTTCAAAAACAGAAAGGTTGTGAACAGTCTCAGAGGATCCTCCCCCTTGTCCTGGGGAATAACTGCTGTCATTTGTTCTGCAACTTTTCCTACACCGTACACACACAATTCAGACTGTAATGAACTCTGTATGCGATTATGCAACCAGGATACAGCTGATATCCTGTTCAAGAATACTTGAGTACTCGGCTCCTGTGGTTGAAGGGTGGTCACACCTGTCTATACCACCCTGCAATAATACAGTGTGTTCTGTCTGCACAATATCAGTTGCATTTGACTGGAAGACTTACTGGGTCCCAGTGGACCTCACCACACCATGCCCCCACTATCCTGTACATTCAGAGTCAAGTAGTCTGTGAGATACCAGATGTGGGAACTGCCTGCAGCATATGGACTGGCTGACATGTACAGGGTGGGGGCATATGGGTGTAATGTGACATCTCATAGTGGCTCCATAGTGTTCCATGTGTGCATAATCGGTAATCCTTTGTGGTTCCTCCCTGGATATGTATTATACACCTGTTTTACACATGACCATGCTGTAGCCTTTTTGTACAGGTAGATGCAACTTATGGTCACATATATTTGAATTACCTGGAAATAAACTCATGCAAAGATATCATGTAAGTTCAGATAATTACATGGAAACTTCCACACAAAATGACACCATCACACACACCTCCTCCTATACACACACAATGTATATTTCCTCCCAGGCCATGCCATGCACACTTGTTTCGACACCTGCGCTCACCTTACCCCTTGTCTTATGCACCTTTTTTATTCTTTCCTCAGACGATCGCCCAGGTGCCAGAGGAAAGCATTAGACCATTGAATCCCAGGCAGGCAGGTAAGCTGTGTGCTGTTGTTGGTTTTGTGTTAATAAACAGCATGTTGCTGTGCTGATGGAAGAGTTCTGTGAATATCATGTTAAAAAACTGGAAATACTTATGTGGGACAGTACTGAGAAGTTGCACCTTCAGTATGTACTATCTTTTTCCACTTGACTCATTTTTCTCCTTTCATTCTCCCTCATTTGCGTAACGGTTTCTATTCTCTCATCTCACTTTTCTATTATTGCCTCATTTATGTTTCTCTTCCAATCGCTCTAATTTCTCTCCCACTTCTTCCTTCCTTCAGTGGCTCCACAGCCAGGCCGCCGCAGAAAGCCCATGACGGCTCCAAAGACTCAGAAAGACAAGGCGTCTAAGCGGAAGAGGGTGCTGCTAGCTGTCCTGACAGTTGTGGTGCTACTGGGCATACTGGTCACCGCAGCATATTTCAGTGAGTTACAATTCCTGACAGTAGTTCCTTTCTCCAAAGACACAGACAAACACCACAGGATGGCGTGCCAAACAGGCCCCACCTTCATATTTCTATCCGACTTCGCTGCTTGGATACTAGAGAAAGATGCTTTGCAAAGGTTTAAAATTCACGACAGGATTCAGTGTCATTTACTGTATATGAAATCATCCGAGCATAATGCTATTCTAACATGCATTCTGCCTTTCTATTCCGATGTGCCACCCCCTTTGCCCTCCAGTTAAGCAGCTAATTGAGAGCAAATACTTCTTCTGTTCGCGCTCAGTCAAGTTCATCCCAATAGACAAAGCCTGTGACGGGAATGATGACTGTGCGGGAGGAGAGGATGAAATTACTTGTTTATCAAGCTTTACGCTCAACACTACCTTTCCAGGTAAAACAAACACCTGACTCTTTCTTGCTTTGTCATCACAGACACAAAAACAAAGCTTGAAAAATGACATCTTTTCTTCCTCTTTGTGCCGTTTCTCCCTCCAGTGCGTCTCATGTCACGTAAGCACGTCCTGCAGGTGTACAGTCCTGGCTCAGGTTGGAGGAGTGTGTGCAGTGACGACTGGACCGAGCAGCACACACAGACGGCGTGTAATCAACTGGGATACACGTAGTAAGTTTACACCCACCAGGGATGAATTTAACAGATGTCACGCATCACATGGATTGTGTTGCAAATTTAATGAATGGGTTATTTGACCTGAAATCAAGCCTCTGCTCCTTCTGTATCAACAGTAAACCTCGTAGCAGCAGTGTCCCAGTGGACACTTTAATATCTTCCCTGAAAACCGGACCATTCACAGCCATCAGACCTGGGACTGCAAACACACCCATACATCAGGCTACCATTGACCGGTGAGGAAGGGAAATGGAAAATCAAAAGCTTTAAACCTCATTATTCATGACTAATGAATGACTATTTGTCATTGCCGCTCAGATCTAAAGTGATCTTAAAAAAAAAACAATGCTGTCTTAGAAACTGCTGTCTAAGACAAAGACACAGCTGTTGACTGAGAGATGATTCCCCTTCAAACTGTTGACTTTAAAGATAAAAACATATTAAAATTAATCTTTGTTCTCTTCCCCCCTTTTAACCTTCGCCCTCTCTTCTGTTCTCACAGTTTCTCTTCCTAAATATAAAAAATCCCAGTTTTCGTTCCCTCTCTGTTTTATTTTCTATGAGAGTGAACAAGACCGGCAGGTGTTTTACTCAAACCAAACAACAGAAAGAGACAAAGTTCAACGGGGGGGGGGTAGATCAACACAACATTTGACTGTGTGTTTTGTCAGTTTAACTAATGTTGTGGCCACATGTGGTTCATGTGTAACTCATTCTGTTCTTCTTACACTAGAAGTGTCTGCAGATCCGGATCTGTGATGTCTTTGTCCTGTTCAGGTGAGTTTATTTTTGAAAAAGCAACCACCATCATCAACATTGTTTACAGTTTTTAACAAGGCAGAGTGGGGCTCATGGGTGGTGGGTGGAAGATGACATGGGTGTATAACTAGTTTCACACTAACAGGCCCATGCATGTCTACAGTAAGCAGCACAACTCTTACTTAGCAACACATGATGGAGTAGGTTCCTTCATTCTGTTGAATAGATCAAAAATTAGTTTGTGTAGGAAAAGAAACTAATCTAACCAGACCTTTACTGCTTGACTAGAATGATCTATATGGATAAATCCATAAAGATAGAAAATAAACGTTGGTAGTTAAATGTACCACTGTAAAGAAAATAGTTTTTCTTTTGTTTGTCAGACTGTGGACAGGTGGGCTTTCAGGACCGTATTGTCGGGGGTACAGATGCTCTCATCGAGGACTGGCCCTGGCAGGTCAGCCTGCAACAGGGTGGCCAGCATACATGTGGAGGAACACTAGTGTCACCGCGTTGGGTAGTCACTGCTGCCCACTGTTTTACAGGGTTAGTACAGCTTCCGTGTACACAATCTCCAGTGAATTTCCTTTTGTGATAAACATCTACATACACTCTTGCTCACACTTCCTCCTTACGCACTTGTTTTTGACCTTGCAGCAGTAAAAAGGAGCTGAGTCGCTGGAGAGTGGTGTCAGGCCGGACATACATGGGCACACTGGGAGGTTCCTACGTGGACAGAATCATAATAAATGGAGACTACAATCCATCACGAAACGACTATGATATAGCACTGATGAGACTCAGCAGCCCGATTACAGTAGGAGGTTAGAGTTGGATTTAAACACATTCAAACACACTGACAGGAGTCACTGCACCTTATCCATTGGCATAGTCATTAGTTTATTGGTTATCTGACTATGTGGAGTCTGTGGCTGAATTTCAACCTCAACAGTTGTGACAAAGGCAAATAAGAACATACAGTAGGCTATACTGTTTTGCCCTCTAGTGGAGTATATGCCAAACAGCAAGCTCTTCACCTCAGACCAAAGTTAGCCAGTGTACTCACTTGATAACTATAACTGTACCTTTAAACAGAACTTTCAGAATGACAAAAGTAAATAATAAGAACCTTAAAGGCTAAAACTTTCATAATGAATGTACTGCCCCTGTCTTCTAGTTAACCGCAGGCCGGTTTGTCTACCTCCTAAAGCCTTTGGCCTTGCTGCCGGAGCTTCCATGACTGTGACTGGCTGGGGATACTTGGAGGAAAATGGTGAGAAACCTAAACACTACCTCTCATCATTCATCAACAGCAACCCCATGAATAGGAAAAGACAACCTCTTTGAAGTTGCCGCTATCGCTCAAATGTTGTATCCCTGTTCTGCCACCAGGCAAGGTTTCTCCTTCACTTCAGAAGGCCAACATCCCTCTGATTAACCGGTCTGTGTGTTCCAGTCCCACAGTCTATGGCAGTGCCATAACCCAAACAATGATCTGTGCAGGTTTCCTGAAGGGGCAAGTGGATGCTTGCCAGGTAACTGACAATCAATTCTGATTATTACTGCAAAAGACAAAGAAGAATATCTGATATTAATATTTTTAACCAAACAACCATGTATGCAGTGTATTACATTTTTAAACTGGATCCATTTCAAGTTGTGCTGCTGTAGGCCTGCAGTTCAGTAATAGTTGTAGTTTGTAGAATCCTCCAGTATTGACATTCTCTTCTGGCAAATGGTTTGGATATTAAAATGGTGGTAAAAATATTATTGTGATCTTATGAATCCTAGGGGGACAGTGGGGGTCCTCTGGTGCACTTGAGTTCCTCTAGGTGGTATCTGGTAGGAGTGGTGAGCTGGGGTGTTGGCTGTGCCCGGGAGAGGAGGCCAGGTGTCTACTGCAATGTGGAAGAGCTGCTCGGCTGGATTCATGCAGCCATTGAGGTACAGAATACAGAAAATGCTAAGTTTCTGTGTTAGTAAGGTCCACTTACTAGCCTTTTCCCCTAGCTTTCAGCTACATCATACAGTTTGCCTTGAGAGAATGGAGTCTGCTCACTTCAGCTGAGCAGCTGAGCAGACTTAATTTGCTGAGGAAGACTGTGAAGTGGACATTAAATTAAAACAGAGTGAAAATTATAGGATGAGTTCTGGTATCACAACAAAATTATTTCCACTTAAGGGCTGTAGTTGTACTTAAGAAAGAAAATGATAATAAATAAATAAATAAAAAAAAAAAATTATAGGATGAGTTCTGGTATCACAACAAAATTATTTCCACTTAAGGGCTGTAGTTGTACTTAAGAAAGAAAATGATAATAAATAAATAAATAAAAAAAA